ATCAAAGACTCCAACTTGCAGCCAACATTGGGCAGGAACAGTTGCCACATGTGTGTAGTCAGTATAGAGTTATGCGAATAGCCGACCAGTTAATTCTTGTCATAGCATTTTAATTTTTATCACACAATTTTTAATAGTTTTCTCTTATAATCCTTTTTATTTCTATAAAGTTGGTAGAAATGTGTCCACTTTCATTTCTGATTTTAGTTTTTTGCATCTTCTTTCCCAATCATTATGCCTTTTATTTCCTTTTCCTGTCGTTTTGCATTAGCTAGGACTTGCAATATAATATTGGAAAGGAGTGGTAAGAGGAGACATCCTTGCCTTTTCCTGATTCTAGTGAGAAAGCTTCTAACTTCTCACCATTAAATATGCTGTTAACTGTAGGGTTTTGTAGATCTTCTTTATCAAGTTGACGAAGTTCCCCTCTAGTCTTAGTTTACTGAGTTTTTATCATAAATGGGTATTGGATTTTGTCAAATGCTTTTTCTGCATCTATTGCTATGATTTTTCTTCTTTAGCCTATTGATGTGATGGATTACATTAATTGATTTTTGAATTCTGAACCAGTCTTGCATACCTGAAATAAATTCCACTTGCTCATGGTGTCTAATTCTTTTTATATATTGTTGAATTCTATTTGCTAATGTTTTTTGAGGGTTTTTGCCTCAATTTCATGGGAGAGATTTTGGTCTATAGTTTTCTTATATTGTCTTTGTCTGCTTTTGGTATTAGGGTAATGCTGTCCACATAGAATGAGTTAGGAAGTATTTCTTCTGCTTTTATCTTCTGAAAGAGATTGTAGAGAGTTGGTATAATTTCTTCCTCAAATATTTGTTAGATTTCACCAGGGAACCCATCTGGGCCTGGTGCTTTCTGTTTTGGAAGGTTATTAATTATTGATTCAATTTTTAAATAGACATAGGCCTATTCAGATTGCCCATTTATTCTTGTATGCGTTTTGGCAGATTGTGTCTTTCACAAAATTGGTTCATTTCATCTAGGTTATCAAATTTGTGGGCATAGAGTTGTCCACACTGAGCCTCCAGCATTTTATCAATTACAGTTCAGATTTTCCTCCTCCAGCACTGGTCTCTGTGGTTGTTTCTGCTCAGGAGTCTCTGCTCCAGTAAGCTATGGCTCCCTGTATTCCTCTGTCTGTCTCTCCAATCTTGGGGGCAGTGGTTTGCCCTGTGTCCTTCCCTCTTGTCTGGATCCAAGAAGAGTTGTTGATTTTTCAGTTTGTTCAGCTTTTTACTTGTTGTTAGGACAGAGTGGCAACTTCCAAGCTCCTTACGTGCAGAACTGGAAACTGGAAACCTCTCCTTTCTTAAAACTTTTTTTTATTGTGGTAAAAAACCCATATCATAAAATTTAGCTTCTTAACCTTTTTTTGTGTGAGGAAGATGGGCCCTGAGCTAACATCTGTTGTTAATCTTCCCCTTTTTGCTTGAGGGAGATTTTCCCTGAGCTAACATCTGTGCCAGTCTTTCTCTATTTTCTACCTGGGACACCACCACAGCATGGCTTGATGAGCAGTGTGTAGGTCCGTGCCCAGCATCTGAACCTGTGAACCCAGGGACCCTGAAGTGGAGTATGTGAACTTAACCACTATACCTCTGGGCTGGCCCGCATCTTAACCATTTTTAAGTGTACAGTTCAGAGGTGTTAAGTATATTCACATTGTTGTGAAATTGATCTCCAGAACTTTTCCATCTTGCAAAGCCGAAACCCTATACCCATTAAACAATACCTACTCTTTTCCCCTCCCCCAGCCTCTGGTAACCACTGCTTTCTATTCTATGAACAGAATTCTCCTGTCTCTTTCTATGAATTTGACTACTTTAGATACCTGATATAAGTGGAATCGTACAGTTATTTGTCTTGTTGTGACCGGCTTATTTCACTTAGCATAACGTCCTTAAGGTTAATCTATGTTGCAGCGTATGACAGGATTTCTTTTCTTTTTAAGGCTGAATACTATTCCACTGTACGTATATGCCACATTTTGTTTATTCATTTAGCCATCAAAGGGCATTTGGGTTCCTTCCACCTTTTGGCTATTGTGAATAATGCTTCTGTGAACATGGGTGTACAAATATCTCTTTGAGACTCTGCTTTCAGTTCTTTTGGATATATACCCAGACGTGGGCTTGCTGGATCATATAGCAGTTCTATTTTTAATTTTTTGTGGAGCCATCATACTGTTTTCCATAGTGGTTCTACCATTTTACAATCCCATCAACAGTGCACAAGAGTTCCAATTTCTTCACGTCCTTGCCCACACTTATTACTTGTATTCTTTTCCTTCCTTTTTTTATGGTAGCCATCCTAACGGGTGTGAGGTGATATCTCATTGTGGTTTTGGTTTGCATTTCTCTGATGATTAGTGATGTTGAGCATCTTTTCATATCCTTATTGGCCATTTGTGTATCATCTTTGGAGAAATGTCTATTCAAGCTCTTTGCCCGTTTTTATGTTTCCCCTTTTCCCTGTTCTTCTCCTTTCTTCAGCTGTTTTCCTTTTGTTGACTGCCTCTACTTCCTCCTGTTTTTTAACTTCTACTAATTCTGCTGCTTTTCCTGCGGATTCTGCCTTTGCTCTCCCTTTTCCTGTTCTCCTCCTCTCTCTTGCTATTTTTCTTTTGCTGGCTCTGCCCCTATTTCTGCTTCCCTCCTTTTTCTCAGTCAGCTGATTCTGCTACTTTTTCTGCTGATTTTGCCTCTGCCTCTCCTTTTTCCTGTGTTTCTCCTTTCAGTAGCTCTTTTTCCTTCAGCTGACTCTGCCTCCACTTCTGCTTCCTTCTTTATTTCCTCAGTGTCTGTTGATTCTACTGCCTTTTCTGCCTCTGCTTCTCCTCTTTCCTATGTGTTTCTTTTTTCCCGTGCTTCTCCTTTTTCTTCTGCTTCTCCCTATTTCCTGTGCTTCTCCTTTCTGCAGCTGTTTTGTCCTTTTGCTGACTCTGCCCTCAACTCTGCTTCCCCCTATTTCAGTGTCTGCTGATTCTGCTGCCTTTTCTGCCTGTGCTTCTCCTTTTCCCTGTGATTCTCCTTTCTGTGGCTATTATTTTCCTTTTACTAACTCTACGCTCACCTTGGCTTCCTCTTTTTTTGGTGTCTGCTGATTCTGCTGCTTTTCTGCCTCTGCTTCTCCTTTTCCCTGTGCTTCTCCTTTCTATGGCTGTTATTTTCCTTTTAGTGACTCTACGCTCACCTCGGCTTCCTCTTTTTTCGATGTCTGCTGCTTCTGCTGCTTTTTCTGCCTCTGCTTCTCCTTTTCCCTGTGCTTCTCCTTTCTGTGGCTATTATTTTCCTTTTACTGATTCTACGCTCACCTTGGCTTCCTCTTTTTTCGATGTCTGCTGCTTCTGCTGCTTTTTCTGCCTCTGCTTCTCCTTTTCCCTGTGCTTCTCCTTTCTGTGGCTGTTATTTTCCTTTTACTGACTCTATGCTCACCTCGGCTTCCACTTTTTCGATGTCTGCTGCTTTTTCTGCCTCTGCTTCTCCTTTTCCCTGTGCTTCTCCTTTCTGTGGCTATTATTTGCCTTTTACTGATTCTACGCTCACCTTGGCTTCCTCTTTTTTTGATGTCTGCTGATTCTGCTGCTTTTCTGCCTCTCCTTCTCCTTTTCCCTGTGCTTCTCCTTTCTGTGGCTATTATTTTCGTTTTACTGATTCTACGCTTGCCTTGGCTTCCTCTTTTTTCGATGTCTGCTGCTTCTGCTGCTTTTTCTGCCTGTGGTTCTCCTTTTCCCGTGCTTCTCCTTTCTGTGGCTATTTTCCTTTTACTGACTCTACGCTCACCTCGGCTTCCTCTTTTTTCGATGTCTGCTGCTTCTGCTGCTTTTTCTGCCTCTGCTTCTCCTTTTCTCTGTGATTCTCCTTTCCGTGGCTATTTTCCTTTTACTGACTCTGTCATCACCTCAGCTTCCTCTTTTTTCAGTGTCTGCTGATTCTGCTGCCTTTTCTGCCTCTGCTTCTCCTTTTCCCAGTGCTTCTCCTCTCTGCAGCTGTTTTGTACTTTTGCTGACTCTGTCCCCACCTCTGCTTCCCCCTTTTCAGTGTGTGCTGATTCTACTGCTTTTTCTGCCTGTGCTTCTCCTTTTTTCTGTGATTCTCCTTTCTGTGGCCGTTTTTTCCTTTTGCTGGCTCTGCCTCCACCTCTGCTTTCTCCTTTTTCAGTGTCTGCTGATTCTGCTTTTTCTGCTGATTTCCCTCTGCTGCTTATGTTGATCCTGCCACTTTTGCTTCTTCTTCTTGGTCTTCTACTTTTTTTATACATCAATTCTGACCTCGTCATAAGTTCGCTTTTACATGACCCTTGGTGGCTACTCCAGCCCTGACTATACCTTATAGCTCCACTCACAGCTGCTCCACTGTCTTATTTTTTCAATTTCAAGTTACCCCCCCCCCCACCTGGAAAAAAAGGATGTAATCCTAAAGTCATGGTACTATGTCTTAGATAGCTGGTTAACTAAGGAATAGCTGTTATCTTAGGGGCTCACCTCTGGAACAGTTAGCTATTGCACAAGCTGAGGAGTAGAAGTGGTGAATTAGAGGATATAGAACCTGATCATTTAGAGCCGCAGGGACTGGAGGTAATCCATAGTTCTTAGAAGGGAATGCTGCTGGATAGACAGTAATTGTCTCCTCTTCTGGAAGTGGATTGAGAAGTGAACAAGGGATGAGAGAATAATGCAGAGTAAGTTACTCTTCTCAGGAAGCTGGCTGATAAGAAATGAGAAAATATGGAAGTCAGCTAAGTGGCAATGTGGAATATTCCTATCCAGACAAGAGAGAAATAAGAGAGAAAAGAACAGAGGGAGCAAGGTTTTGTAGCAAATAAGCTTGAGATTAAGAGCACAGAATTGAAGGATTGACCACAACTGAAAATGTGACACCAAATCCTTTGAAACCAGAAGAGCTGGGAGGGAAAGTTGGCCTGTTCTACTTTCATGATGCTATCGAGGTGTTTGATTATTTTTTTCCCTTTCTGTGCAGGTCCTGAGTCTGTATCTCCTTCCCTTCTCAAAGTAGTGATGAAGCCCATAGCTGCTGTTGGAGAGAACTACCAGTATCCTCCTGTGAACTGGGCCGCACTCCTCTCTCCACTGATGAGGCTCAACTTTGGTAAATATCAGGCGTTTTTAGGTCTTCAGACTTTACTTTTAGGGTGTGACGTGAGGAGAAAAACAGATTCTGTGTCAAATTGGTAGTGACTGGATAGACCTTTGGGATCTTGAGGTTGATCTTCTTGGATGGAACAGCTGGGTTACTCTCAGTGAGTCAATTTATGAATAACTGAGGGTGAGAAGAAAGAGGGCTGAAGACAGACCAGATTCGTTTATGAAAACAATACTTGACTGAGATGTGCATAGTGCTAGGTATGTGGTTCAGGTCCCAGAAAACCTGCTTTGATGGTTATCAAACCGCATTTCCAGAGCCCTAGGTTTCAAATAATAACCCTATGGGATGGTGTATTAGTTTTCTATTGCTACTGTAACAAATTACCACAGACTTAGTGGGTTGGAACAACACAAATTTGTTATCTTATAGTTCTGTAGGATAGAAGTCCAACATGGCTCTCACTGGGCCAAGGTCAAGGTATGGATAGAGTAGCATTACTTTGTGGAGCCCTAGCAGAGTGCTACAGTCTGAATGTGTCCCTTCCAAATTCGTATATTGAAATCCTAACTCCCAGTGTGATGGTATTAGGAGCTGGGGCCTTTGGGAGGGGATTAGGGCGTGTGGACAGAGCCCTCATGAATGGGATTAGTGTCCTTATAATAGAGATCCAAAGCGCTCCCTAGCCCCTTCTACAATCTGAGCACGGCAAGAAGTCAGCAGTCTGCAGCCTGGAAAAGGGTTCTCACCAGAACCCAACCATGCTAGTACCCTGATCTTGGACTTCCAGCCACCAGAACTGTGAGAAATAAATTTCTGTTGTTTATAAACCACCCAGTCTGTGGTGTTATACCAGTCCAAACAGACTAAGACAGGGAGAATCCATTTCCTCTCCTTTTCCAGCTTCTAGAGGCTTCCCATATTCCTTGGCTTGTGGTCCCCTTTCTCTGTCTTCAAAGCCAGCAGTGGAGGGCTCAGACCTTCTCATGCTGTCATCTTTCTGGTTCTCTGCAGCTGGGAAATGTTTTCCATGTGTAAGGATTCATGTGATTAATGGGTCCCTTTGAATAATCCAGGATAACCTCCCCATCTCAAGGTCCTTAACCTTAAGCATATCTGGAAAGTTCCTCTGCCGTGCAAGGTAACATATTCACAAGTTCCAGGAGTTAGCATGCAGACATCTTAGGGGCCGTTGTTCTATTTGCTACAGATGCTTTGTGGTGAGAGGAAAGGGAATGCACACCTCCAGTTCATCCACAGCAACCTCTTTCATGGAGTTTGCATATGCAAATTCAATTTCATGTACTTGCCCCCACCTCCAAAAAGAGAGGGAAGGACAACAATTTTACCAGTACTGTAAAATGGTGTGTAGGTAGATGTGTTTGTCATGAGTCCTCTATTATTTACGGTGGGGTGTTTACTTACATATGATATACGGAAAGATTTGTATACTATCATTTATGTGCAATTTAAGGGGCAATCAAAGGTGATTTTGACTGTGGGGAAGTTTTCAGTTTAATGCCTTCATTTGAACCTAATCCCTACGTAAGATATGATGTCTTCATACTGTGTTTGCAGAAATTTCATTTAAAAAATATGTTCCCCTGCCTCTTCTCTGCCTTTGTGTGCTGTATTGAAATTGTTTATGTTTTAGTAAAAGTCCTTAGAAAAAAGAAGAAAAGGCCTGGAAAATACATCTGCTGATGGGGATCAGACTGTTAAGAAGACTGGGTCACTTGAGAGTGTGGCCACAGACCTAAATAGATTTCCCTGTGTGCTGAATGCAAGGTTGAGAGAAGGGAAAAACAGAGACAAGGAAATTTTCAGCTAAAATTTTCTCAAATTTTTTATAGTATTTGAGTGTTTACATTTCTCTGGATATCATCAGAGAAATTTCCCTAGCTAGTTGAAGGCCCTTGCTAGTTCCAAGACTTGGGACTCTGATGCCTGTGGATACATTCTTTTGCCTCATAACTAAAAGGTCTCTTGAAATACCTTTTTTTTTTTTTTACTGGGGTTCTATGACCTGTAGAAGTCATACAAGCAGATGCTTTGGTTTGAGACACTGAAGGCTGAAAATGGGTCAGAGAAGCTGCTACATTAGGTATTCTTTTCCTTTCTTCTCCCTCAGGTGAAGAGATACAGCAGCTGTGCCTTGAAATTATGGTGACCCAGGCACAGTCATCCCAGAATGCAGCTGCACTGTTGGGATTGTGGGTGATGCCGCCTCTGATCCACGGTCTGAGTGTACGTAGTAATTAAAGGTATTGGGCTACAAGAGAATATGGTTCTGGGAGAGATTAACATTCATTTGGGTATGTGTTCTTGAAGTCAAGAGTGGACAAATGGAGTTTTACAAAAATTGAGGCCTTGACAGTAGCTGGCTGGCAGATTGGAAAATTATGTGATTTAGGACTCTGCCATAGCCATCAGCATTCATGCTTTTAGCTACCATTTATTACAAAAAAGGAAAGTGATGATCAGAGATATTAAAGTTCCTTGCTCAAGATCATACTGCTAGAAAGTTGTGGAGTCATTTAAACCTAGCTTTATTTGTTTATATGATATACATAATCGTTTCAGTAAGTATTAAGAGAAAAGCAAATCTACTTGTACTGGATATATGATCCCTCCCTTTCACAGAAAAGGCAGCAATTAAGGCGAGCCTTGAAGGCTTGGGAGGATTTAGTGAGGCATCAAGTTAGAGGCCCTAGGGGATGTGGGTGGGAGGATGCAGGTGGAGAATAGAACATCTCTGCTAGGGTGTTCAGCTTGAGCAAAGTGAGAGGAAGAGGTGGTGTAGCCTGGCATTTGTGACAGAGAGAGGGGGCTACCACAGAAGAATGAAGCGAGATTATTTAAAATGTGAAATCAGTGAAGATGTGAAATTAGTAGATTTTGAGAACATTTCAAGCTAGGACAAAGGACTAAAGAAGCACATTTCATGATTCCTTAAAGATTTACCAATTGATTACAAGTTAAATGATCTCCTGTTTGTTATTCGTCTGTTCTAGGAGGCCTTAATTCTTTGAGAAGACTGCAAAGCCTTCTTATTAATTCCTCAATCTTTTGGCTTCAGTCCCTACTCTGTGCTTTTTTCTTTTAAGCTTTCCCACGTCTCCTAATTCTCTCTAACTGAAGATGGATGTTGTTGAGGTCTGCAGCCCTCCTGTCAGCTGTTACCATCACCTGTGTGCTCAGGCAGCTCCCATCTTGCTGCTGCTCAATGGGCACTTGCTATGGCCCTGCTGCTTGTGAGCGCTCAGGGAGGCCTTCCAGATGCCAGCCTGCATCTCTCTTCAACCCTGACAGGCTGCTTTATTTTATGCAGCTTTATTGAGTTATAATTGACATTCTATAAAATATGACCATTTTAAATGTAATTTGAGTTTTAGTGTTTTTATACGTTTTCATCCCTCCTCCAAGAATACTTCCTTCACCCCACAAAGTTCCATTGTGTCTGCTTGCAGTCCATCCCCACTCCCAGTCTCAGACCAGGCTGCCATGATCTGCTTTTTGTCTCTATAATTTTGCCTTCTTCAAACTTTGATATAAATTTAAATGTCATGTAAACTTTAGAAATTCTTTAGAATGGAATCATACAATATGAAGTCTTTTGTGTCTGGCTTATTTTACTTCTGAGGAATAGATTTTATTTCCATTTTACAGCTTGATAAACTGAGGCAAATGGAGGTTAAGCCAAGTTCACACAGCTAACAGATGGGAGAGAGGCTGGCTGACTCGGAAGCCCGCGTCTTAAACACGCGGTCTAGTAACGCCTCCTTCCCTTTGAGTCAGGTGTAACCCACAGCCTGTTTGGTTGATTTCAGGAATTTTTCCAGGTTTTAGTTATCCTTCTACTTCTCTTTTAGATCTGTGCTGCTCTTTCGTATTTGCCCTTGCTTCTGGACCTTTCCTATTATCTTTGTTAATTAACTAAGTTTGTGAATTCATTTCCTTAATTATATACCTTCTCATTTAAAACATGATCTGAAATGGCATATTCTCTAAAGTGAGCTCTTCAGGGAACTCATGCAACTACACTGATCTTTTTTGAAATGTGCTGATTTTGTCAGATTTTGTTTTTTATGCCAGCTCTTTTAGGTTTGCTGCTGCTTTGGTGTCATATCTATGTTTCTAAGAATTTTTGAGGCCTGCTCTCTTAAAGTCTGCGGCACATAACAGCTGTTACTAACTATGCCGCCGCTTAGCTCTCGTGAACTCTAAGGTGCCGTGGTCAGTTCCGCATGCTCAGCTGGTTCTTCTTTGGTCAGAAATGGTCCCAACATGCCAGCTCCCCTTATTATTTCCTTATGCCTCCTCAGAAGAAGAAATTAATAAAATCAGATATTCTGTTTCATTGATCTCCAGCAGAGGAGCCTTTCATCTTCAGGAGTTTTTCTTGCCAGAGAATGTGACCTTTTCAGACTGAATGGCAAACTGCCATGTACTTTTAGAAGTAGCATTTTATTCCCTTCACTGAAAAGACCCAGGGTTTAAGCTGAGTAGTTCACAGATGGGTTGGCAGATACCATGTATACACATGAGTCACTCTGGACCAGAAGTCACTACAGCAGCCAAAATTACGTGCATCAGTGACCCATTGGACCGTGGAGCTGGGGGAAAATGAGGGGCAAGGAAGTAACCTGAACCTTTATCTCTCAGTCTACCCTCAAACATGCTGATGACCTAGAGGATTGGAGCATTGCAAGCCCGGCTTTGCCTGTTTACATCTGACCTCTTCTGTTTTGCTTCCAGCCAACTAGCAAGAAATACCTCCTGGTATCTCTGCCTCTGTGGATAAAACTCGTCTCTGATGAACAGATCGTGGGTTTTGTTGAAAACTTAGTGGTGGCAGTTTTTAAAGCAGCTTCTCCACTTTCTAATCTCGAGTTATGCGTGAGTGCCTTACAGGGTCTGGGCCAGGCCATGAAGCTGCCCAGCCCTTCCTACCACCTCTGGAGTCTGCTCTGTGAAGCTACTGGGAAAATTTTTGACCTTCTGCCAAATAAGATTCGGGTGAGGAACAAAAATATTTACATTCCTGACAATTTATGTTTGGGATTTTTTAAAGCCTTTTTGGCAAAGCAGGAAGGTGTGTGTTATAAGAATGTGGTGGGAAGGATAGCAAGAAATAACCACATTCTTCACTAAGAATGTGTTTGCTTCCAAGATCTAAATTGAGGTTGAATATTTAGAACCAAAGTTTTGAGTAAGCTTAGAGCGGGTTAACCAGTGCTGTACCAGGAAATGTGCTCTTAGGTCTTTTACCAGATGCCTGTAGAAGATGAGCAAGCTCAAAACTCTTACACTTTATGCCTAGAGAATCCTTGGGCATATTGTCCAATATCCTGTTGATATCAAGGGACTTAACAGTAGCCTTTCCCCTACCCCAACAGACTTCTGAATTATAGTTTTACGAAGAAGTTAAACATCTGTTTGGAATGATAGATTCTGATAAGGAGAAAAAAGTACAGCCAAACAAATACACACAATTACAAGTAAGTTGTCTTTTAAACGATAAAGTTTGGCCACACGTTTTGGTTTGGTTAAAATTAAAACCCTGTCAGCCACTGTTCCTGGAGATAAGCAAATCTAATAATTTGTCAGAACATTGAGACTATACCTGTTATGTTACATTGTGTTTTGACATGCTTGGGATTTTTCTTTACCAGAGAAATGATCTAGAGCTGTATATCTGTGTAGCAAAATGCCTCTCGGAAATGACAGATGATGAAGTCACTCGGGGTGCCCAGATTACTGAGGTAATAACATATCTATATTTTTTTTACTATTGCGGTAGGAATTACAGTTGAAGATGTGATTAGAGCGTCCTTTTGGCTGAAGCTAGTTTTGCTCCGTATTTGTTACTGGCTAATTTCAGGAAACTATCTCTGTTTCACTATGGGGTCTCGTGTCCAGCCTAGTAGTATGGTTGGATACGTAGTAGTATGGATGGATAGATGGGTGAATAACTTTTTAACCTAATTAATCCCACTTTGTCAAGAACATTTTAGTGTCACCTATGGGCAAAAATGAGTACAGGATAATGTCTTCAATGCAAAATCCACAAGAATGGGAATATTCTGACCAAAAAACTTTCTGGTGCATGGAAGGCGTAAATAAATAGTTCTGTTTTCACATTTAGTTTTCTTCACCTGATACTTCTCCTTTTGAAATGAAGAAGGGTGGCTGATTGAAAAACAAGTTCTATCAACTCTTACACAAGATAATTAACAAGTACCCTTCACACCCACACCCAAAGGATGAATGAGTAAAAAGTAGCATACCAGTAGAGTTGCCAGATTTAGCAAATAGAATACAAGATATCTTGTAAATTTGAATTGCAGGTAAACAATGAATAATTTTTTATATAAGTATATCCCAGTGGACCCACTTATTCACAGGGCAGCCCTGCATACCAGGTAATGAATACCAACGGTCTGGAGAACTGTGAGCCATCACATAGCTGGTGGACATCTTATTATTTATTTCAGTTTATGGCAGGTTTGCCTATTCAGTTGAATCCTTGAATTTCTGCATTATATAGCAATGACTCTCAAAATGTGGTCCCTAAGCCAGCAGCATCAGCCTGGGAACTGGTTAGAAATGTAAATTCTGGAGTCCCACTCCAGGCATCCTCAATCAGAAACTCTGGAGGTGGGGCCCTGGAGTCTGTGTTTTAACAGTCTCTGCAGGTGATTATGTGCATCCTAAGCTTTGAGAACCGCTGTTAGTATATCGGGAATATCAACATATTGGAGGTTAGTTTGTTTTAAGCAGGGACCAGCAGTATAAGGAAATGCTTAAGAGAATGGACTCTGGGGCCTCACTGCCAGGGTTTGAAATCAGCTCCCTAATTTACTAGCAATGTTACCTTGGTTAAGTTTTATAACCTCTCTCTGCCTCAGTTTCTTTATCTATAAAAGGAAGATAATAACGCCTACCTCCTAGGGCTGTTTTGAGAGTTAAATGATTTAATCCACGTTAAGTTCTTGGAAAAGTACCTGACCCAAGGCAAGTACTCAGTAATTATTTATTACTGTAATTATTACATTCGTATAATTTATTATATCCTATTATTATACTCATGCAATATAGTTGTAAGTAATGCATCTAGTTTACTTTGTAGTAGCTAGCACTAATGGTTGCTGTTATTCACTTGGGTTCCTAAAGTGTTAATCAGAACATTGTCTCTAGAACATTCTAAATAGTGTTCTGATGTCAGTGTTTTCTGTTCATTTCTGGGAAGAATAGAGAGGTAAGAATAAAGTAGTGGTGAAGAGCTTAGACTCCTTGGGTTCCGATTCTTTTTCTTTTTTTTTTTTTGAGGAAGATTAGCCCTGAGCTAAGTACTACCAGTCCTCCTCTTTTTGCTGAGGAAGCCTGGCCCTGAGCTAACATCCATGCCCATCTTCCTCTACTTTATATGTGGGACGCCTACCACAGCATGGCATGCCAAGTGGTGCCATGTCCGCACCTGGGATCCAAACTGGCGAACCCCAGGCCGCCAAGAAGCAGAATGTGCATGCTTAACCGCTGCGCCACTGGGCTGGCCCTGGGTTCCAATTCTTATTCTGCCACCTATAGCTATGTGACATTAAGAAAGTTACTAAACCTCTCTGCTTCAGTCTCCTCATCTGAAAAGGAGGAATGTTAATAGTAATTTACTGCATAAGATTGGTGTGAGAATTAAATGGTTAATACAGTGGTCCTCAAACTTTTTGGTCTTAGGACCGCTTCAGTGTCTTAGAAATTATTAAGGACTACAAAGAACTTTTATTTATATGGGTCGTATCTGTCAATATTAACCATATTAGAAATTAAAAGTAGGAAATTTAAAAAATATTTACTTAAAAGTAATAATAATAAGCCCATTGTATCTTAACATAAATAAGAAGAAGTATTTTCCAAAAAACAAACAAATTCATGAGAAAGATGGCATTGTTTGGCATTTTTGCAAATCTCTTTAATGTCTGGCTTAGTAGAAGACAGCTGGACTCTCACAGCTGCTGCTTTAGTCGTTGTGACATTGTCTAGAGAAGTGTGTGAAGAAACTCCAGCCTCATGACAGATGTGCAGGTGGGAAGGGGAAGGGTGAGTTAATTGTCTTCTCAGATAATTGTGGATTCCTTCTTTGATACTGCACCAAAACTCAACAAGTGGTAGTTTATTGCAGGTTTGTTGCACTGTGGAATCTGAGACCATACCAGATACTCCACAGACTGTGTTACATTAGGATCCATTGGTCCACCTTGCTCTCTGGGTCTTTTACCAATGCATAATTTTGTAACATCATACATTGGTCATTTGGAAAATATTGAGTCACTGAGTTTAAAAAATCTTCCAAATGTGGATCCATTTCCTTATATAATATCAAAACGTCTTTATTTTTAAATATCATCAAGACCCTCATCAGGAAAGTCTTTTATGTATTGGGAAGCTGCCCAAGTCCAAGTAGCAGATACACATTCTCCAGAAACCTAATTTTCGCTTAAAAGCTCAGATTTTATCATTGGCAACAAATACTGTCAAGTGTTTTCCTTGAAGTGACAGTCTCACTTCCTTCAATTTTAAGAACATAATCTGTCAAGTGCTCAGTTGGAGTAACTATAGTTTGTCCAGCAGCCATTCTTTCAAGTAAATGGTGTTCCATGAAAAGAGTGGCTATTTCAACTCACAACTCAATCTCACAAGTGTTTTTTCTTGAGACAACCGGCATACTTGGTTGTGCAGCTGAAGTCCTTTATGCATACTTCCCATTTTGTCATACAGAATATTAAAAAGATATGTACTCAAGGGCAAAAGTTTAACAAAGCTAGTAATTTTTATTGTTCACAAGGACATTTTAAATGAAACTAGCTTTTAAAAAAATTACAAGTGGTAGTGAAAAATACATGAATATTGCTATAGTTTGGTGCTATTATGAAAATAGTTTGACCTCACAGACTCTCTAAAAGGGTCTTGGGGTCCCCCAGAGGTCTGTGTACCATACTTTGTGAACTGCCAACTTAATACATGTTAAGTGCTTAGAATGGTGCCTGGCGCTTAATAAGTACTGTATTTGTTAGTTATCATTGTTGTTATTATTATTTGTGTATTCTCACTAAATATCATCACCAATTACCCCCTGAAATCATTTATGGTTATTATGAGAGAACAGGAGGTGACATTACAACTCTGTGTGTGTGTCTACATTTTAATACATCACTCAGGCAGATAGGTCACATGCTGCCAGGCATGAACAGTTCCAGCATTTGGAATAGTAATCAACTTCAGACTCACCCTTTCTGTTTTGCCCTTGCCCTGATGTTCTATAATGACTTCAGTTAATTTAATAGTAACTGAACAATTTGCTGTTTTGCAGAGCAGCATAGAAAAGGCCACCTTTGTCCGACTGTACTTGGTCTCTCAAGGACGATTGCCCTTGATGGGCTTGACTGACATGCTCAGTGTTGCTGTTCAGCACCATGAACAAGACACACTGGCCTGGATGATGCTGCACAGCCTATACCAGGCACGGATTGTGAGCCATGCCAACACAGGTAAGACCCGCCTGGGGCGAACACGGGAACAGAAAGATCCGCCTGCCCTCCCTTTTAAACTGCAACTGTTGCCTCAACTTAACAACTAGTTTACTGCTTCTTGACACAGGTGAGGCCTTGTTACATCAAATGAGGAGCACCTTGGCTGGAAATGGGCAGTTACAGCTCACAACAGCCACTCTTGGGAGATGGGAATGAGTTCTGTTGATTTTTATATTGTATTTGGACCTCCATGCCCTCAAGGATATAAACAAATTTATCAGGTTGATTCTGCCTGCTTCAGTTTCCCAAAAAGACAGGAGGTCCATCGATTCTGCCTGATGTTTTCATGAAAATGGCTTTTGGTTGGTCATTTAACAAACAAAAAAGCAAGAACAAAATTAAATAGTTATTCTACAGAAGAACTTCTCAGGGGTGAGAAGAATGAAACCTGGACACCCTCACTGCATCCTCAAGCCGGAAGAAGCTCCAGGCCTGAAGCTCTGCTGATGAATCATATGGCATAACTTTTAGACCATTTTAAACATTTACACTTTACTAATCATCTGAAAAGGGAGCTCCCCCCTTTCCCCTCCCTTACCTTTGGTCAGATGCTCATAATATCTCGAGTCTCCATTCAGGTTCTGAATGGCACCTGGCTTAAGTGGATCAGATGTGGCTGAGACGCCCTTGTGACCTGAGGCAGGCTACTCATGTTTCTGTGCCCTGTTTTCCCATCTCTTGTACCTTTAAGGTTTTGAGAGAAAGTTGACAAACATAACTGTAATACTCTTTTCAAGACTGTATAGGGAGGCCGGCCCAGTGGTGCAGTGGTTAAGTTCGCTCGCCGTGCTTCAGTGGCCCGGGGTTTGCCGGTTCGGATCGTGGGTGCAGACCTACACACTGCTCATCGAGCCATGCTGTGGCGGCATCCTACGTAGAAGAACTAGAAGCGCTTACAACTAGGATATACAACTATGTACTGGGGCTTTGGGGAGAAAAAAAAAGGCAGATTGGCAACAGGTGTTAGCTCAGGGCCAATCTTCCTCACCAAAAAGCATACCTTTACAAAAAAAAAAAAAAGACTAAAGGAAATTTTGATTCATGCTCCTCTTCAGCAATTGAGATAGTTGTCTTGTATCTGCAGTAGTGTCTGCCCAATGGAAAATGAACTTGTGATAAGAAACTAGAATTTTTAATTCTAAATCAGAAGTGCATTTATCAGGAAGAAATCTAGTAAGTGTTCCCAGTTAAGTATGAAGATGCGTGAAGTAAACTGAGATAAATTTGATATTGCCTTGGTTATAACTAGCTAGCTTTCAAAGTTAGTTCCCCATTTTCCTCTTATTCACTAAATTTTGAAAGCCTTCCCAAGTAGTCTTTACTGCACCAGGAATCCTCATTTTAAAAAAATCGAAATGGAAAAATCAATATTTATGCTGATGTCTGTTCTCCAGTTACTCTATAATAGCTGGGGTTTTTTTCTTTTTGTGTCTTTGGGATAGATTTTCTCTGTGATTTTGGCATAAATTGCGAATATTGAAGCAAAGGATGTCTATAAATACAACTAATTATCCAAGATTTAACATTACTAGCCAGTTGGCATGCCACGCTTCTCCTAGTGTGTTTAATGTTGAGAGAGAAACTCCAATAAATGCACTTTATCACTACCAGATGGGTAGGTTTGAAGAATGAATTAGCTTTTGAAAATAAAGACCAAAATATGGTCATCTGACATGAATAGTGTCAAAGAGCTCTCTCAGGGCTATCACAAGTCTCAGGTATTGCGAGAGGCTGTGGAACAGTGGCATGGAATCCTCACCAGGTATTCTGCTTTAGTTGTGATGGCTATTACTGATCTTTTTACATTTCAAAGTAAAACTATGGTCTGGTAATAAAATGTCCTTTTTGCTCAGGCGTGTTGAAGAGAATGGAGTGGCTCTTGGAACTGATGGGTTACATCAGAAATGTTGCTTACCAGTCAACCTCTGTTCAGAACACGGCTCTTGATGAGGTACCATCTAGAGGCATAATTTGTGGCTTCCTTAAAATATAGAATTTGTATCTGCTCTCCCCAAAGAGGAATATGTTGCTGCTTGCAGCTGTCTTTCCCTCCTTCCTTTTATTTTTGGGAAGCAGTGGTGACAACTCTCTGATGTCACAAGGAAACCTATGTTCTTCAGGCTCTTGGCTGCCCTTTGAAAAATATTTTCAACAGAATACGTTCCTGACAGGCAGCACACAAAAGACAATAGCTGGAGAGGAATTCCAGGATCCTATGTACTTGGGCTTGATCCCACAAAGAATGTGGGGTACAGGGCTCGGGCCTCCACACTGGCCCAGAGCATGGCTTCAAACACCTGGTTTGAAGAGGTTCCTGAAGTGTATGCAAGTAATCTGTGTTTGCACCAATACTTATGTGCGTGTGTGCACATACTGGAGGGGAGTTTTCATCGCACCTGCAAAATGACCTATGACCCAAAAAAGTTTAGCAACCACTGGTATTGGGTGAGTTAAAAAAAAGATTAATAAGTAAAATGAAGACAGCACTTTCCTACTCTGCTAATTTTCTTGATTTTGCTATCCATTGTGAATTTTTTAGTAGTAGGATTTTTTCTATAGGCATGTTTCATGAGTATCCTGTTTGCTGTGTAAAATTTGCATAACCTGGGATTTGAAATTCTGCCCCGCTTTTCTAAGGAGTTGTGTGTCTTTTTGAAATTTTAATTCGTGATATTACAAATTTTAAGAGATTGAGGAGTACTTTTTAAAATTTTTTTTGAACCAGCATAATCTGTCCTCTTTTTTTAAGTTTTTATTGACCTTTGTTTTCTTACAAAAATCTTTTAAAACTTAGAAAACACAGATAAGCAGAACAAAGTGTAATTTAAATCACACTAATCCAACAAGTCGGAGGTGGCCCTTGTTCCCACCACTTCTGCTAGTGTCTAAATTAGTCTAAAAATCTAAATGGATGGATTCCAGACAGATTTCTAAAAATGTATGTGGAGGGTCATTTGTTATTGTTCAAAAATAGAATCACACTACATATTTTTAAAAATCAGTTTTGGCTACTTAACGATAAATCTAAATGTCCTTGTATCACTCTTAATTAATTTTTAATCTCTTTGAAAATACCAAAACTGAGGAGTGTTTGAACCTCGGTATGAACAGGAATTAAATAAATTATGTTTCTCCTGAAATGTTAGAACAATAATAATGAAACTGTTGGGTCGCCAGTCTTCGAAAAGAGGATCCCTAAAACCTTCCAAAGCCCTAAAATGGCTCTTTATTAAGGATAGAAATAGAGTTCGCTGTTGAGGCCAGTTCCTCTTCTGGAGTGGCAGTGGGGCAGGAGGAGGGGTGGCCGAAGGGGAAGATGACATTGCATCATGATGGGGGTTGTGTATGTAAGCATGTCTTACACTGAATTGTTAAACATGTGACCTAACTTGGTTTCTATTTCCACTGTAGGCTTTGGACTTCTTGTTGCTGATATTTGCAACCACAGTGGTTGCGTGGGCGGACCACGCTGCCCCTCTCCTCCTTGGCCTCAGTGCCAGTTGGTTGCCATGGCATCGGGAAAATGGCCCGGCTGGGCCAGCAGCAAGCTTCCTTGGCAGCAGTCCAATGCACAGGGTCACTCTGCAGGAGGCTCTCACTCTCCTTCCCAGTAGCATGCCTCTTCTCCTGCAGAAAGAGCCGTGGAAGGAACAGACCCAGAAGGTGAGGTTGGCAGCCACGTACTTACCAGAGCAGGCAGCTGTTTTCTCTTCAGCAGTTGCTGCTGTAGAATTGAGGTTGGAGTTAAGTGAAACTCGAATCACACCTCGGCTTTTATGCTCAGCCCCACATCTCGGCCAGATACAAAGCCTCAGAGATTGAAGCTAGCCCAGGCCCAGGGTAACTGCTCAGAGTAATTAAAACAACAACAATGACAGCAGCAACAATCTGCTTACAGTTAGGGCTGAAGTGGAAAGAAAAGCTTATACTTGCCTTCATTTATTGAAGGCACATGTGTTCTTAATTCTGAGGATGAAAGGATGAGTGAGTTTTGAGAGCTCAGAATCTCAGAGTGAGGACAGAGAGGAAGGCAAGTTCAAGACTGCAAAATGGTATGATCAGAGGATAAGGTGGTGAGCAGGGGAAGGGGGTGATTAACCATGCCTGGGGTGGGTCAGGGAGATCTTCCGAGGGAAATGTGAGTCTGGAGCATCCGTCTTCTTGTAGCATATTTAAGGTTCCCCACAGCTCACTCGGTCCTACAGCCATGTTCCAGCTGCTCTGTGCTAGATTCCGAGGGGAGATGGGTAAAGGCCTCATGCCGTCCCCCTCGCCCTCTGGAAAATGCAAACTGTAGGAAACACCTTTTGGGTTTTAAGATTGAGATTCCCCAGGCTACTGGCTGTCGTGCAGAGTGTATGAAAACACGCTGCTTCCTGTACTTCTTATACATGGCTCGGACCTGTCTTTAATGTAGTTGATTGGAAGATTCTTTTTTGAATCCCATTTAATCAAAACTGGATTTTTATGAGGTCGAAAGCTTAAAACTAACCTTTTGTGGCTTATTCTTAAAATCTGAACATTATCTTTAAAAATATTTGAACTGTGGACCTTAGCCACATATAACTCCACTGAGCTTCTCAATTAAAATGCGTTTGTTTTCTTAAACCTGATAAGCATTAGTATTATTGCCCCAAATTTTGTGTTTTCTGTTTCATTTTAAATCAAAATAAATTTAAATGTGCTATCCCTTCATGTTATTCCTGGCCTGGGACACTGTGTTCACTTTGGGCTGCGTTGTAGACATCCTGCATCTATTATGTTTTTGCAGTCCTTGATTTATTTACTTAACAGTAGGATATTATAAAACAAAATTGAGAAAAAGAAAATAAACAAAGAAAAAAATTCTTTTAATTAAAGCAGGGAATTGGGAATATTTTCTTTTTCTGTTTTACTGTTTCTTCAACTCAGCTTCTATGTCCAAAGATAAAAATGCTTAGTCTGTATGACTAATGTATGTGTTTTTTAATGAGCCAAGATTGGCAACATTCAGTCATCAATGAAATTACCCTGTATCTAATTCAGAAACAATTTTGACTGCACCGTGGGAGATCAGTCAAACTTATGAGTACCATGAGTTTCTACCTCATTTGCAGGATTTATTTGCAGTTAACACGCTTGGCTCTACCTAGTAAATTATTTTATGCCTTTTCTCTTGCATTTCAACTTCCTGTTTCATATCCATTCGGGCACAAACTGTTCTCATTTACAGAAACACATTTTATTTTAGAAACAGGGGCTTACATCTGATATGTTTCCCTATTTATTGCCCAGCCTTGGAGCCTAGGCCTAGATGCACAGGAAACCAGGTTGGGGGCAGCATCATGTGAAGAAATCTGTGGGACTTTGAAGCCAGGTGTGCTTGGATTCAGATCTTGACTCTGCTATTCATTGGAAATGGACTCAGGCAAGGATCACAAGCTCTTTGGACCTCACAGAATAATGAGAGAGAGTGCGCATGGCACACAAGAGGCCCTCTGAGCCCATGTCTGCCTCACTCTCAAATCCAATAGCAGTTCTCAGGGTATTCAGCAGGGGAAGGAGGTTTGCCTTTGCTGGGTCATTTGACTAAAAGGGAACTGTGTCCAACTGTACCATCCCTTGTGCCTGGGCCCTGACTCACCTCCACTCCCCGACCCAGACATGTATTGCCTGGGGGCTGCTGCTCTGATAGGCGTGTCTGCAGGCCCAAGGGTGTGACTGATCTCTCACTGAGATTCGGGTTGTCTTCACTGACACTGTTCTTCATTTTTCACCCTAGTTCATTGACTGGATATTCACCATCATGGAAAGCCCGAAAAATGTCCTCTCAGCAAAATCCAGGGATCTTTTAAAAGGTATTACTTCTGTGCTTTATGCCCAGTGTAGGTGAAAACCATCCAATATTGTCGGTGCTACAGAACAGCTTTCTAGTGGTGTTGGTTTCTGAAAGGCCTCATCTAGGTTCGGTTTAGAGAAGTAATCTGGAGCTCTCACCAACATGGCACTTTGAATTAGAAAGTGGATTTAAAAAGAGTTTCAGTGCCTTTAAATTTAACTTTTAAACAGTTTTAAAATGTTTTATTATATGATAAAATATGATTTTAATTAAAATTTAGAAAATTCAGAAAAGTAAAGAGAAGAATCAAAGAGAAATTCAGAGTCCCATTGCCCAGAGACAATTTTGATACTTTTTCTAAGAAGTATTTGCCCCCTCTGTCTGTGAGTGTTGTTTAACATATTCATAATCATATACAATTGAAAAAATACACATAGACACTTTGAGTACCGACTTTTTTATTTTAAAAGCATTTAACTTGTTCTTACACTGGCTTCATAAATAGTATTTTTAAAAGCTGCATAGTATTTTGCCAGGGGAATTGGACATTTCCCATGCTTTCTGGCACTTAGATGGTTTTTGTGTTTTTATACTTCTCTGTTGATTTGTTAAACTATGACTGTAGGATCCACAAACATAGAAAATCTTTCTGTGACAATTATGTACATTATTTTATTACTCAAATCGGAGAAGTCATTTCAGCGTTGATTCTATGGCCCGAGACTGTCGTATGTGTTTTGGGACTTGGGGGTCTGGGTCCTACCAGAGGCTGTTGTTGATGCCCCTGACGTGCTGTAGGATACTGCACTGGAAATCTCACCTTGAGAAGTTCCCTGTTGGCCTGCACTTGGGTAATCCGTCTGGCCAGCCTGAATCATAGTATGACCATACTTTACTTAAGTATGGTATAATTGATTCGTTGTCCAACAAGCAAGATTTCCCTAATGTGCTGGTTCTGATCCTTCGCCCTACCCCCAAAGGAGGTGGAAGGCATGTGTAGGAAGGTGATTCTGATCAACCACCGAACTTCACTGAGAATCATGGCTGTGGCTTGACCTATTTTCACTTGATCCATCCCTGGAGACTTGCTGCTAGGATTTCCTCCATTTATTTGCCTCAGGGAGTTTCGACTCATTTTAATGGCCATGGATCCATAATACCATTGGTTACTCCAGACATACACAGTTGTCCCTCCGTATCCTCAGGGGATGGGTTTTAGGATCCCCCTTGCATACCAAAACCCACAGATGCTCAAGTCCCTTGTATAAAATGGCGTAATATTTGCATATAACCTACATACATTCTCCCATATACATAGTTATTTGGGTCAAGGAAGTACATGTTCACTTCATTATATAGTCAAGGGCCTATTAGAATCACACACAATAATTGTGTAACTCTGGCTCACCTACATTCCCTTACACTATTATATTTTAAATAATATCTCAATATATTTATATTAGTATCCTAAAACAAGATATATAACAAATTACATAGTGGGATTACACAGAACTTTCCTACTTTAAATCAATCCTTGAGGGACCCATGACAAATGAGAAAAAGCACAGACTCGTGGGTAATGTTCAAATATAGTTTAGTACTACCATGCTTACTCCATTGTGCCCATGAACCTGACTTCATTACAGGATCAGTTTTTTGGGGTTTTTTTTTTTGCTTTTAATTAACCATTTAATGGAAAAATCATATTCACGTAGAAAAGTGCCAAATAATAAGTAGATTTTTACAAAGGAAACACACCTATGTAATTAGCACCCAGATTAAAAAAAAAATCACCAGCATTCCAGAAGTCAGTTTTTGTTTTAATTTTGCAGAATTTCCTGTTAACTGGTTGCAGGGTAACTTTTTAAAAAAAAATAAATGTTTTTCCCCAGCCTTTATTAATGGTTTCTACCATTAAAATTCTGTGTAAGTCTTAAAGGGACTTCTGAGTCTTGAAGATTAGCCAAGTGAGAAAAAGCCGATTCTGTTCTGACACCTTTTGATCTAACGACCTTTTCAAATGCAGCAGCACCAGATGCAACCATGTACTTTACTTTTTGTCCCCTTAGCCACTCTGCTGTCCTTGCGAGTTCTCCCAGAGTTTAAGAAGAAAGCTGTATGGACCAGAGCATATGGTTGGTGAACAGTTCTGCAGCCGCCAGCAGCATTCTCAGCTGGATGAGGAAAACCATAGAAATGGAAGAAGTTTTTGAGAATTCGTGTCTGGTATCACTGAGACATGATGCAGAGAGTTAGGGTCCTGAAAGGGTGGCCGTGTAACTGGCAGCTTGACACGTGCACATCAGGAGAAGAGGACATCACTTCAGTACCCAGGCCAGTTGAGACTGAAACAAGAACTTGAATTTTCTTTTATTTGGCTAGAGTTCAATCTGAAGATTTCTTTGTGAAAATTTGACTATATCATCTCCTCTCCACTAAATTCTAGTAAAATTATCTGTGAATTTTGTGCATATGACTTTTATTTGTTTTTAAGGCACAGGGAAGGTTTTGCTTGTGGTAACAGAGGCATCATGATCTATTTCCCATGAAGTTTCTGGAGGATATTCATTGATTCAGTGGATCAATGACTCAGTGAATTAGATATGTTTTCTTATTCTTTTCAATAAAACACTCTTTTGGAACTGCTATACACATTTAAAAATAAGCATAGTGTTGAACATTAGCTAAATCAGATTCATTAGCGGTGGCTACAATATTGTTATGCTTGGGTCTTTGAATGCAAGTGAAAGTTACCCAATTCAAAATAGCTTCAGCCAAAAAAGGGAAGATAAGCTCACAAACCAAAAAGTTTAAGAGAAGATCTGATCAGGCACAGCTGTATCCAGTGGGTCAAACAAGAGCCATCAGGGCATGGCATCATTCCACATGGTTGGCAAGATGGCTGCCGGCAACCTCAAAGGGCAGGAGAAGTGTCTTTGCTCACAGGTATGGCAGAAGCAACATGGGGAGGACTCTGGTTTAGCCTGGGTCATATGTGAGTCCCTGAACAACCATGTGGGCCCTGGGAGATGGGGTACTCTAGCTGACCAGGTCTGGGTCATATGTCCACTGAACTGGGTACCCCCCAGAAGAGAGATGATGAGTTGCTGGACAAATATCTCCTCAAAAGATCAAACTTTTTTATAAGTGCAAATCTCTATCTTAATCAGGCTGACTAGTGGCTTAATGACATGTAAATGACAGTATGTGACAGTATCCTCAAGGACTGCATTTTACTCAAGGGCTTGAGAATCAGCCAGCATTTTAATATTGATCTGTTTGCTAATTGTCTTTCCTTCATGCAGCCATTAACAAGGGCTGTCTTTAAGTACTCATATAAATGTATTGATGTATACATATATGGGATCACTGGGGAGATAATTTGTGCCACTAGCTTAATGTGCTTTTGTGTCTATCATGCTGTAGCAGTGCCTGGTACTTTAGCAGCACCAGGGAACTTTTAGTATTCCTGCGTGGCATGTACCTTCGTGTTGTCACCAAGTGTGCCTACCACTTAGGTTAAGAAGAGCTCCACTAGTTTTATTTCCCAAATATATGGATTTATGATTTCAGGTTTCAAATATTTGTGGTTCACCGTGTAAATCACACCCTTTTCCCAGGTCACAGTTCTTTTGCTGAACTCCATAGTGCACCAAGATGCTTACAGAAAAGAGGGAAGGGAAGGCTGGCTCTCGGGTAGTGTTTACCTGCATTGCCATAGTTTCATATATATTACTTCCTTAGCGTTTGGGCAGGAGGGAAATGAATGTGAAGGAAGCAGAAAGGTAGAAAATTTACATTAGAAGCCAGCTTTCCTCTCCTTCCCACTCACATACACTTTCCTATACTTCCTACCAATTAGAGGTTGACATTCACCTAACGTTTATTGTTGGGTGCCAGGCTGTGCATGCAGTAGAGCTTTCATGTGTATTATTTTATTGAACTCTTACACCAGTATTGTGAAGAGGCATTATTTTCTATTTTAAAATGGATAAAACACATCTAATAAGTGGCAGAGCTACACCTAGAACCTAGATCCTAGAACCCCAGATCCAATGCTCATTCTATTGCATCAGGCATCACCTACTTAAGAGGAAAACTCACCAAGGATTAAACCTCACTCATGCTTAATATTCATTGCTGTAATCAGATAAAAGAAACACCCCTGCCCCATATTAATAAGCCTCTGGAATTGGGAAGATTAGGAGTTTAGTGTAAAGGAACAGGTCTTCCTAGGTTGAAGGACATAGATTCCTGGGCCAACTTGCAGGCATGGATGGCAATAAAGAACAGTGAAGAGGAAGTGGGCACTGAAGGACTGCTCTGCGTTTTTCTCCCTGAATCAGCGAGCAGAGCTTGCTAAGGCTCAAGGAAAAGGAGGAAGAATCAGCCCAGTCTGCTAAACCCAGACTGCCTTTTTCAGTTCAGGCCAGTTTCTTCCCATTCAAACTTTGTCCCTGCTCCTGCCCTTGAGAAGGAAACAGAAGAGTACAAAAGGAGGGAGTAAGATAGATCTCTATCCTCTCTTCCCTACCTCCCTCTTTGCTTTCGGGAGTGTAAGATTCATTAGCTTTTCCTATTCATGGGAACCTCTAAAGAGTCTAAAATGGAAGATGCTAAATTTGAAAAATCGAAAGGGTCTAAAATCTATATATTCTAAGATGTGGGTCACTGGAATAAGAAGACCCTTTCTCTTGGTTACCGGTATGACCTCAGATAAGAATTAAGTTATTCCCTCAGGATATTTCATTTCCCCAGAAACCAGAAATCTCTGCTTTTTTAGACCAGATGTCTGAAACTATATATAAAAAGAGATGTTTCCTTACAAGTCATCTTCTGTTAGTTTTTGAAATCACAAGTTGCCAAGACAAATAGCATGCTGGAGTATACTAACAAATTGACATGTGGGGTTAGAGCCATGTTGTGTGTCTCAGAAGTATCCAAACACTCTGAGTCTTGATTTGAAAAGTGTACTTTTCAAACAGATGCTGGGATCCAGGCAAGTGCCTCAAATCTCCTTTGTGTATTGTTTGTAATGTAATGGCTCCATGGTAACTAATAGGCTGTTAGTAACCTTTTTTTGAAGTTAATTGCCACAAGTTAACTTCTCTAAATTAATTTTAACCAAAGATAATGGTATTATAATTATATAAGGAGTAAGATTTTATTAGGCACTCAACTACTGTCTTGAAATAACTTAGTCACTTTGAAAGTAAGCAGTAGTTTTAGATTTTTGGTAAACATTTTTGTAAATTGCTGTTTTAGAAGAGAAATCAGATCGTTTGGTTAAGAGGATGGGCCTTTGTTACAGCCAGAGTTGTAGGCTAGGTCTCTGGTCAGTTTGTATCTCTGACTCCAATCAGCCTATTCATAGCTGCAGGCATTTCAAATGGAACCAGGGGACAGAATGTGGCTGGAACAGTTCACATCCTTCGTCACACCTCACAGCATTATCTTCACATATCAACGTGTGTCATCATTGCTCTGGTCCTGGATGAGGTAATATGCTTTTATATTTTCTGGAAGGAAATACTTCATTCTGATCCTGGAAACTCTAAAGTCTCATCTTTTTTAATGTATGATACATAAAGTATTTATGAAGTTGTGAGTATGCCTGTAATCTGTTAATCTTCATAAACGGTACAAAATTCTTTGAAATTGCAATCTAGAAAGATCATCTGATTCCTGCCAGACATGGGAACTTGTGAAATAATTTCCAGCTATTGGATAAAAAAGTGGAATAAAAATGACAGTGATGACTTTGACTTTGGTTTTATTTTTTAGATAAAAGAAAGAACCTACTTCACAAAGTAGTTGTCAGCGTTAAAAGAAAGAATACAAAAATATGCTTTATAAATTCTAAAGTGTAATATAAATGCTATCACTTTTATATGTTTCACTGAGAAGAAATAGTAGCTATAATGCTTGCACACAGGCCTGAAAACATGTACATTGGGACTTTGAAAGATAATGGAAATTTCTTAATTAAGATATTGTTCTCCTTACCTTTTAAAACATTCTAGAAGCAAGTAGCACATCAAAGATACTTATATAAGCCTTAAAAAAAAAACCTTCTATATTTGTCTTCTGAACATGAAGTACCTTTGAGGATGAATCAACTATAATTAAAACATCACGTAATTCATCTGAGAGATTTTCTTAAAATATGTTTTTTTCTGGATGTAGTGGTAGTAATCCATAAAGTCAGAGTTCCACAGTCATGAGTGTCTGCTATGAGCCACGATACAAGGTTCTGGGGTACAAAGTGAACAAGACATGACATTCCTGCCCTCCTGGAGCTTATATTCAGAAAATGGAAATCAGTAAACCATCATGTAATAAAGAAAAGCATCCAGGAAACGTGTTATAAATTTCCTACTTCTGTATAACCCTTTATAATTTACAAAGGCTTAATTGACCATAGTTCATTTGCTCTTCATAACAACCTTGGGCAGTGAAGGAAACTGGAACTCAGAGAATCATTTGGTTAGTAAATATTGGAGTTGGATTTCAAGTCAAACTCAGTGCTCCTGCCTCCAGACCATGTTCTCTCTCACAGGACCCCATGGTTCAACTGAATATCAGGAAGGAAGTACACAAGGATACCTGCATTCATCTGATGAATTGAGACATATTTTTACTAATTGATTTTCATATGCAATTGACCGTAACCTTTTTTAAGATGAGATTTAAAACTCCAGCTACTCTGAGCAAAGAGAATAATTAGTTAATAATTCCTATTTAGTATGTTTAAAAACTGTTTAAACCTGAAAAAATGAAGACCATCATCTCAGTTCTAGAAACAGAGAACTACATGGTATGGTGGCTTTAATATAAGTTGTTATTAGCAGTTTTCTGTTCAAAGTGGAAATACTTCAGACTCGAAAGCAGTGATTCTCACACTGTAGTGTGCATGAGGCTCATTTAAGGAGCCTGTCAAAATGCAGATTCCTGAGCTCATCCGAAGTTGCTGGTTCCACAGGCCTTCAGTGGAGCCCAGGAATCTGCATGCTAAATAAACAACTTTAATTCTGGGACGCTTGCTCCCTGGAAGATATTTTGAAAAACTGTCCTGGAGAAAAGTGCCATATCGAAAGTAGCATATCATTCAGACCCAGAAGAAGAAAGTAAACATTACCTGAACAAAGGAGAACATGATAATGTTTACAAAGCAAAAATAAACAAATGAGAGGAAGGTGATGGGGCAAGGAGAGATCATTTTTAGCACATTTTAATTTTAAATTAATACTTTGGCACAATAAAATGTAACTGTTTTCTTTGTACATAAATTCAAATAAATATAAGATTCTTTCTCTGGAGAAACATTTTGGATGTTGCTCTTATATCTACTTCATCTTTAGAAAGCAGTATAGATTCTTATATGTGACAACTTGCTCAAGCTAGACAGAATAAAGTATAGTAAAAAAAAACAACAGCTTCTCTGAGGGACTTCAGTGAGATGTGGTACATTCTTTAGTGACAAACTTCTTTGCAGGAAGCTTGGTAAAGGTTTTATAATGTTGTGCTGTGCCTGGCACATTGTAGGCACAAGAGAAGTGTTTCTTGAATGAATGTAGGCATTGTGTATGCAGCCGACTAGGGATCAACTCATTCCACTAAGCTTAACCTGTTTATTGAATGAAAATCTAAGACCAGGAAAAGCATACTGGAGAGAAATAAAACGCATCTATACTGAATGGATATGTTTGGAAGAAATGTTAGTTACTGCTTTTCATTCAACAACTTTGATAAAGAAAAAGCCTGAGGACTCTGATGATGCTACATGCATGTGTGTGCGTACTTGTATTTTTTAGGCAGTCTTTTGCTGAGTGCTGAGATAACTTCTTCAAAGCAGTTTTGATTCAGAGCAGTTTTACTGCCCCCCCCCCCCCCCCCGCCTTTTTCAGCACCAGAGGCACTGCTGATGTTGATTCCTGCTCCTTAGCTTGGGTGACTTAAAACTTCAGGCAGTGAAACTTGGCATTTCAAACTCCGAAGAAAGATCATTTAAAAAGTTGTCTTACGCTTTCAAAATATCTGTTTCCTATTTCATCTATATTAATTAGATTTGAGAAACTAAGCCTTTGATGACACTGAACAAAATGAAATGGAGATCTGATGGACATATGGTTAAAACAGATAGCCAAAGAAATCAACTGTGCAATCTGGGTAACATCCGATTAACTAGATGTTTACTCAACGTCTGGGTTTCTTAACCTGGGGAACATGAACTTGAATGGGAAAAGAAATGACATCCTTATTTTCACTAACCTCTAAAAAAATTTAATATTTCTTTTGATTATGAATATAGGCAACCAACCACAGTAATATTAACAATTGTAACTCTGTCACCAGAGGAAATCACAAGAGTTTTTTATGTTAACAATTGTTGAAGCTATCTCAAATTATTGTCAAACCTCATCTCAATACTTCAAAATTACCATAATTATAAATATACTTGTATTTATTTTCGGTCTTCTATTTTTAGAAGTAGAAAGCTTCTTTAGGTAATCTGGTTTAAAAATTAAAGTATCATTTAGTAATGCAATTTTAATTTCCTCTAATGGCCTAATAAAGTATAGTTTCTCTAATTCTTTCTCTTCATTTTAGTAATCCTAGATATCTATTTCAGCAGTGTAAGTAGCCATCTTTATTGGGAAGAAGCTAGACTAGGTCACCGAAAATTTGGAAATGGGTTCTGTTCTCTTTACACACTAAAGCGTTCAGTAATTTTTTTTTTAAATTTAGAAGTGAAATAAACAAGTTTAGAAACAAAATGTAGCTTCTTAAAAGGGTAATTTTAATACTTTAAAATTCCAAATATATTAAATTTATAAATATGTCAATTATCTTTATTAATACTCAATTGTTTCTTTTCAAATGTTTTATTTGGTGGAAATAAGATTACTTATTTTTTTATAATTACATTTTTATTACTTGGTTGTTCTGTCACAAAATATTTAGTACTCTTTTACATAGTCACTGGATAAGATGATTCTATAATTCTTTCAAGAAAAGTGAATGATATACTAATGTTACAGAAATGATTCTATTAGTCAACTATTCACATGTGTTTTAGATTTTCAAAGAAAGGAGCATTTTTCAAGACTATAAGCGATGACATATATGACTTGTAGTAATTAGCAATAATAATTCAGGAATAAATAATCTGAAACGTCAGTAGTCCTTAATTTTCTTACCTCTTTTAAATGATTTACTATGTTTTTGTACCTTTTACCTCCTGTAAGGTATGTATAAGGCCTGATTATGTTTAAAAAAAGGAATATGGGGCATTATTTGTATAATTACCAAAGGTCTTTTTCTGTTTTCATCAGAGCCCTCTTTTAAAGCATCAAAGCTCAAATAACTTGTGTAATATTAATGAGTACTCTTTCAGGGTTTGGAAACATGTTTAATTTTCTAAGTGTGTCTAACGTTTACGGTGGATGTTAACTCTGGGGACAGTGACATCTGTCTATAAAATATGTTACTCTAGACTACGGCAGAGCATATTCCACATCACTCCCCTCCTACAGACCTGCTGCTATTTGGGAACTCAGAAGTGAAAAGAAATAAATGTAAATAGATGTAATTTAGGTTAACAACTTCAGTTTCTTGGTTTAATTGAATCTACTCCAGGTAATCTCCTATTTCTCATTAACCTTACAGGAAAATAATGGGGCTTCACACAATATAAATGTAACTGGTATAAAATCCACAGTTTTAGGGAAGCAGGTTGTGCAGAGTATATGTTTTGAAAATACAATGTGTGAGAAACACAGACTGCTGTGATATGTCTAGAGTTTTAGAGAGGAGTGCAATTATTTCATGTCAGGTTTTGTCAAATCCTAGGTATTTTCCCACCAGAATGCTTCCTGGTTTGTGTTTGCTGCGCTGAATCCACAAGCCTGTCTTTTCTTGTGTCGCATTGTAATGCTGTGCTTCAGATTTTCCTCTTTTTAATGGGGAAGACTCTGAGCATGTCACTTCTTTCGGAGTAAAGATGACTGTAGGTAAAATACATACCTAATGTGGAGAAGGAAGTGGCAAAATAAGTACGATTGATTAGCCATTTCTCTGGAAAGAACCATGGTTGTAAAATACAGTCACAGAGCTGCCTGAAGTCCAGGGACCAGACACTTGCAAGGGAGACTCAAAGAAAGAACACTTACAGGAGTGTCTAGATTTTCTGCAGAAGGGTAAGTAAAACAAACCCCTCCATCTTACTATTTTGTTTATTGCAAGGAATTAATTTTTCTTTAGGGAAGCTGTCTCCACTTGCCCTGAAGTTTCACATTTGTCTTCTCTTTGATGTGTTGTTTTTGTAAATATGATAATTGTTACCTTCTAAAGGTAATCTTTTTCTTGGGGATTTGTAAAGGTTAGAGCTGGAGAAACTAAAATTTAATAATGGAAGGCTTTTTCCCAGTTTCCTGGGAAAAATTAATTGCTCAAATGTTTTCAACTCTTTTTGTTCCATACACTTTTTTTGGGTCTTTTGCACCTACTCCCACTTGCCTGCGGGGAAATGCTAGCACATAAGGCCAAACAGACATGAAACAAAACAGATATCAATGGAAAAACAGAAACACCCAAGCCTGCTTAGTTTGACATCTAGGTTTTGTTTGCAGATACCTGTGTCCAATGTAAAAACGTCTAAATTTCATACACAGCGTAGTTACATATTCTGCTAGTAAAATTGTTCCTGTTCATACAGTGAAACAGTGATATATTTGATCTCATGATGTCCTGGAAAAGGCAGTATAATTTCCGGGTGCTTTGTTAACAAGGTGTAGTTCATCGTGTCAGGCTTCCTTTTCGGTCTCTCCCATGTTTGCAGACCTTTCTGTTAAGGTCGATGGTGGCACTAACCAAAAAGCAGGGGAAGAATACAAAAACAAAGCAGACGCCACTTACCTATAAAGAGCATCATGAGATATATTTTCAGCACGTATGGGAAATAGATGGATAAGTCAAAGGGCAGCGTTGTGGAGTAAGTGCCAAATGATTCAAAATAAGGCAGTGACTGATAGACGGCAAATGCTGTGCAAAGAAAAAGGAGGAATCATGAAGGTTTCCCTCCTTAATCTGTTACAGGGATATGTATGTATGTCTGCATAGCTGAAGGCTATTTTGAATTTGATCATGGCAGTTTTGTGATAATTGCTGAATCCTTTAGCTAAAGCTACAGGGGTTTGTTGTTTGTTTGTTTTTAAAGATTGGCACCTGAGCTAACAACTGTTGCCAATCGTTTTTTTTTTTTTTCTGCTTTTTCTCCCCAAATCCCCCCAGTGCATAGTTGTATATTTTAGTTGTGGGTCCTTCTAGTTGTGGTATGTGGGATGCCACCTCAACATGGCCTGATGAGCGGTGCCATGTCTGCGCCCAGGATCCGAACTGGCGAAACCCTGGGCTGCCAAAGCATAGCGCATGAACTTAACCACTTGGCCACGGGGCTGGCCCAGAAAGCTACAGTTTGATATAGAAATCTGAAAGATTAAATTGGCAAGGCCATTACAGCAGTGTGACTTGTTGAATTTTGGTCCATCTTATACTTTGTTATGTCTACAGAGAAATAGTATACAGTGTTTCTTAAAATGATATCTCAAAACACACCTGTCCCCTTAGCCTCAAATAGGGGTGACAGCCAAATGAGTTTGGAAAATGCTGCTTATATTTTCCTCTTGGAGTTTCACAACACACATTAGTATAGTAGATTCTGAAAAGTTCTGCAGTAAAGAAACTGGTTTCACCCAACATTTCCTCAGTTTAACTAGCCTTGGAATAGCTCCTCCTTCCTTCCCATGCCCCAGCAGTACTTAATAAAAACCGAGGAAGTCTGAGAAATGCTGGCCTAAATAATTTTGAGGGAGGAGGTTGGGGTGTCAGATAAAAAGAGAGAGAAGTTCTATGAAATTGTACCCTACATATAGATTTTTGATAACATTTCATGGAATAAAATGATAATGTACTATGGTTATGTAAGAGGTTATCATTAGGATAAGCTGGGGCAAGGGTATATGAGAACAATGCAATAGTTTTGCAACTTCTTGTGAGTCTAAAATTATTTTTTAAAGTGTCTTTTTTTAAAAAGATGGAGGAAAAGTCAGTCGCCCACAGCTACTAGAGCCAGACAGAACAGGCTGAGTGGCATTGGCACAGGGTCTGCAATTGACACCAAGGCATACCATCGAAGATTTCCATGGGCTACACCTCGGTCTCTAGCATTTTATCAGTAGAGTTGATTTGGTTATTCACATGGATTTAGTTTTTCTCTCACATTATCAGATGGGAAACTATAGTTATTAAAAGATATTACAGTTATCAAAAGTCAAATATGTTTTCTTAACTGCATGTTTTTATACTTTGGGAAATTTGAAATATATAGAAACATATAAAGATAAAATTAGTCACCTATATTCCACCACCCAGAATTAATCATTATTGACATTTTGTCATATGTGCATCTAGACTTTTTTCTGTATATATTTTGCTTTTAATGGCAAGAATAAGTTTATGAATCTGATTTTAATAAAAGAATCTGTGTTTTATGGTAACCATATAGGAACATGGCTTTTCTGGAAAGAAGGCTTAGAATTATGGAATAACTAGAATGGAAACCTTTCCTATACATTTATCCATCCCTTATTTTTAGGAAAAGATTAGTCATATTTCTACCTTACTCCTTTATATATGGTTTACAGTATTTTTCCTATGATATAACAAAGGACTGTACTTGATAAATGTTTCAATGAGTGAGGGGTTTCATTCTCAAAGTAATGGCAACCCTTTTTTTATGGTTTTCAAGAAGATTATTGTCTAGGTTCTCTTGGCATAGTCTATTCCAAAATTTAATAATTCTTCCGTTTGAAAACAAAACAAATTTTAAAACTCTGTCTAATATGATTTACTCTAAGCTCCTTTTCTTTGGTCATCGGTAGATAGAAAACATGTGGTTCTATTGTATATACTTTACAATTATTGCCAACGTCACCATCATTTTATGTTAAATCTGTTTCTGTATATTTTCCCTTAGTTACTTTAACATGCTTTCCCAATTTCCTTATGCCTTCACTTTTCAAAATCTTTAATCACATCTGTTGCAGAAAGTTCTCTATCACTCTGCCAAATCCCTTACAGAAGGAAGCATCTATTTCCTCAATATCCTCCAGCACTTTGCAAATTGATGATTTTCATCGTTTGATTTTAAGTTTTAGGTTTACAGTTAGGCTAAGTAGTTAGCCTACTTTGTATTGTATGCAGTAATTCATCCAGCGTTTATTAAGCCTGCATCCTAGGTTCATAAAAGGAAGGAAGCAAGGAAACAAAGAGAAGCCCATATCCCCATGGCACTTAGAGGCTAGTCAGGGAAACAGATATTCACCAAAAAATCACACAAGTATCTAAGTACAACCAAGATAGATCTTATCAAAGAGAGATTCATGGTGCTGTACTAGGGGGAGTTGCCTTAGCTGAAGAAGTCAGGGAATCCTTCCCTGAGAAATTGCTCATAGACCTAAAGGTGGAGTTAACTTTTGCTGGCAGAGACTGGGATGCATGGTAGATGGCAAGTGGAATGGACAGTCCAGCCAGAGGGAACTGAATTTCTATGCATTGAAAAGAATCACTGAATCACTAAATGTTAAACCCCTTTTGGATGAGTAAATAGACTCAGGTTAAATGATTTACCCAAAACTCAAACAGAGATAATGAAGTTAAGGGCCTGTACTCAGATGTCCTCATTCCTCCTCCAACATTTTGTCTACTGTGCAGCACTGCTTCCCCCTCTACCTTCGTTTCTTAATGCTTTGCTTCTTTGCATCAAGGGAAGTATGCCAGGAAAGAGACATTGAGTCAGCTAAGCAGTAGCAAAAATAGTAATTTAATCATCAAAGAATTTGGTGAGCCATTATAACTAGATTGCTTTTGTCACAGTTTTCTTACCTTCAGCAAGAACACACAAAGGATAAACGGGCATCCATAGTGTTTGACTGAGCCACGTCAAGATGGCGTAGGATATTCCAATGACTGAAAGCATGCTGTAAGTGTACCTGCAAGGAGACAAGGAGCTCGTAAACATCATTGGCTGCTGATGTCTGAGGAATAACAGAAGAATGAAATACCTTACTATGCAATTAAATACACAGATAAAACTGGAAAGTGTGCAAATTCCATTCTTCATTTCCTATCATTTAAGCAGGAGAAGAGGTAAAAAAAAAAAATGGTAGGAGTGTCACCATGTCAGTCTGGTTTGTCTCATGGTGTGGATCATGTATAATTATGGAGGTGAAATGAGAAAAATGTAACCCTTATACCCCAGCAAATGACAGTTACAAATTTCCTTGATTAGTGACTTCAGTTTCACTCAGAAGCCAGCCCATTTCATGCAGCAAGCAGCTAGGTTTTTAAAGACAGAAATACTTGTAAATATCTAGGGAGTGAATTTTAAAAATAAAAATATGATTTCTAAATCCTTATTTGGCATCCCTCAACTTATGTGGTTGTGCCATCTTGTGTGATCAGTTAATGAACTGGCTTTAGGAGCTTGTTTTGGGTACAGTAGTTTTAATCCTGCCTTTGAGATGTAACAGATGAAGTGGTCTCATCTTTTTTTCTCTCTCTGACTAGGCTTAAGCATACATCAGAATCAACCAGAGGGCTTGCTAAAGCACAAATTGCTGTGCCCTATCCCCAGAGTGTCTGATTCAGGGGGGTCTGAGGTGGAGCCTGAAAATCTGTGTTACAAACAAGTTCCAGGTGATGCTGATGCCACCGGTCCAAGGACCATATTTTGAGAACTACTGGATTGGGCAGTACATACATATGGCAAAATAAAATCCAAAACCTTGAAAACATGAATGGAGAAAAGTAAATCTTTCTCTCATTCCAGGACCCTATTTCCTCAGAGGCAATGACCAATGCCAATTTCTTATGCATTCTTTCAGAAATATTTTTGCGTATACTTGTCTATGTGTATATAGACTATATACTAACAGTGCAAGCCCTCATCAAACATGGCAAGTTACTAAACTTTTTCATCTTTATCAATCTAAATGAAAAATGGTATCTCACTATTTTGTGTTTTTTCTCTTATGAGAGTAGGTAAGTATCTTCTCATATGTTTAAAAGCCACTTTTGAAGAAGTCCAGTGTATCTTTTTTCTTTGTTGCTTGTGTTTGGGTGTCAAATCTAAGAATCCATTGCCAAATCCAAGAGCACAAAGATTTACCCCTATGTTTTCTTCTAAGAGCTTTAAAGTTTTAGCTCTTACATTTAGGTTTTTGATCCACTTTGAGTTAATCTTTGTATACGGCGTGAGGTAAGGGTCCAACTTCATCTTTTTGCATGTGGATATCCAGTTGTCCCAGAACCATTTGTTGAAAAGACAATTTTTACCCATTCAATGGTTTTGGCACCCTTGTCAAAAATCAACTGATCATAAATGTGAGAGTTTATGCCTGGACTGTCAATTCTGTTCCATGATATATCCCTATGCCAGTATCACACTCTTGATTATTGTTGCATTGTAGTAAGTTTTGAAATTGAGAAGTGTGAGTTTTCCAACTATGTTCTTCTTTTTCAAGATTGTTTTGGCTATTCTGGGTTCCTTGGGTTTCCATGTGAGTTTTAGGATCACCTTCTCAATTTCTGCAAAGGAACCAACTGGGATTCTGATAGAGATTGAATCTGTAGATCAATTTGGGGAGTGTTGCCATCTTAACAACATTCAGTCTTCAACCCATAAACATGAGATATCTTTCCATTTATTTAGTTCTTATTTAATTTCTCTCAACAATGTTTTATAGTTTTCAGTGTATACATTCTGTACATCTTTTGTTAAATTTATTCCTAAGTACTTTAATTTTTTGATGCTATTATAAATGGAACTGTTTTCTTAATTTTGTTTTACCTGGGTCATTGCAAGTATATATAATACAATTGATTTTTGTATATTGATTTTTTGTTCTACACCTTGCTGAACTAGTTTATTAGTTTTAATATTTGTTAGTGGATTCCTTATGATTTTTTATATACAAGATCATGTCATCTGCCAATAGAGATAATTTTACTCCTTCCTTTCCAATATGGATGCCTTTGACATCATTTTCTTGCCTAACTGCCATGGCTAGAACTTCTAGTACAATGTTGAATAGAAGTGGCAAGAGTGGACATCCTTGTCTTGTTCCTGGTCTTAAGAGGAAAGATCAGTCTTTCATCATTAACCATCATGTTAGCTGTGGATTTTTCACAGATGCCTTTATCAGGTTAAGGAAGTTCCTTGGTCTTTGCTTTTAAAACAGTCATTCTAGGGTAACTTTGGAAGATAATTCTGCCCCCATTTTACACAGGAAAAAAAATTGAGTTGCAAAAAGTTTAGGTGCTCAGGAATTTCTCTCCTAGGTTAAGAGAAATGAAAACATATATGCACACAAAAACCTCGTACATGGATGTTCACAGCAGTATTCCTCATGACCAAAAAGTAGAAACAACCAAAATGTCCATCAACTGATGAATGGATAGATAAAAAGTGGTATATCAATACAATGGAATATTATTCAGCCATAAAAAGTAATGAAATACTGAGACATGTTACAACATGGATGAACCTTGAAAACGTTATGCTAAGTGAAAGCAGCCAATCACAAAGGCCACATATTTTATAATTCCATTTATATGAAATGTCCAGAATAGGCAAATCCATAGAGATAGTATGTTAGTGGGGGCCAGGGGCTGAGAGGAGGAGAGAATGGGAGTCACTGCTAATGGGTTTGGGGTTTCTTTTGGGGATAATGAAAATGTTTTCAAAATAGTAGTAATGGTTACACTTATCTTTGAAAACACTAAACCCCACAAATATTATACTTTAAAAGGGTGAATATTAAGATATATGAATTATCTTAGTGCTATTGTGTTTGTTTTTTATAAGGTTAAGTGATTTTCCCAAGATGGTACAGCAAGTAAGCAGTGGAGGTGGGGTTCATCCTGAGATCTTCTACTTCTGTGTTCAAAAGTCTTTCCATGACATCATGATACCCCTCTCAATGCAAAAGTCACTTTGTTCTCCAGTGAGTCTACTGAGCTTATCTGAGACTGAATCGACACTGAAAGAGTCAGGCGTACCAGAGAATAAGACATCAGAAACCACAGTCCTGGATGAGGCGCCATGTCTCATGAGGAGGGGCAGTTCTCAGCTACGAAACCTGAAGTAGCAGTTACGACACGTCTGCAAAGTGAGCCACTGAGCAAAGGGGACTGTTTTACAGCACTGCTGGTAGAGATAAGACTAGGCTCATCTCGTTGCAAAGTTTCAGAATTAGAAGAAAATCTAAGACAATCCAGAGCAAGCGTTCTTAACCTGAGGTTCCGGGATTTCCACGGAGTTCACCAAAGAGCCTCAGTCAGTCATCTGAACCTGGCGGGACTGTAAACAAAAATGTATGTGGACGGGCATTTTTTCCCAGAGAGATGAGGCCCTATATTGAAAATATTCTCCAATTCACAGAAACCAACTTTGTAAATTCTGACTATGATATAATAAAAGTCGTGCTTTGCTTATTAAAGTAACGTGTACCAGAGCAATTGCAAGAAATGCCTTTCATTAGCAAACAGCTGTGAGGTTTATTCCAAATTGGTGTTATGCCAAGTCTTCTGCTGGAAACCTGAATGCGCTGATTTGCTCTTGTAATACCACGGTAGGTTTTCATTATCTTTGATATGCCCATTATGGAAAGCACTAAAAATACATTTCCATATCAAGATAAAATAATTTGAAAAGGGGTTATGTTTTTCTCTCTCATTCAGAGTAACCAAATGCAAGCAGCTATTACTGGTTTCACTGTAAAAAACAATTTGACTTTGTTTTAAGAGATTATTTTGTCTCCTTACCTAACCATATCCAATAGATTCCAAAAGAAGAATAAAACACACACCACGTATTTCCCTTGGACTTCCTCTTGACTGGTGATCACCACAAAGAGGATGATTATTCTCTCTGTGAGCTAACAAAGAAACAGCAAAGTCGAGAATTAGGATCATCTGTTAAGCGTGTAGGCAATTTTCTAATTTTAAAAACCAGAGTTTCTCTTAAAAGCACGTTTTAACTGGAAAGAAGTACACTAAACTGTTAACATGATCTCTGAGGGAGCAGAGTAATGGATGAATTTCATATCCTCCTTTTTGTTTTTCTATATTCTCCAAATTACATATAATGAATAAAAAGATAACATATATTTTATCTGAGTCAGGATATTTCCCTTCTTGTGATACACGCACACGTTTTTGTTCACTTTGGCAAGCTCTCATTGAGTGTCCATGACGTATTACATGCTAAGACTATATATATGGTAGGAGAATGTGAGGCAATAACCATAACACATGTGAATAATGCGGTCCTTTAAAGAGCACAGGTGAGGGAGACACCTGCCTGGGGAAGGGATGCAGAGAGATTTATGAAGACAGGCACCATTTCAGTTGGATCTTGAAAAATAGACAGGGGTTTGTCAGGTGGACTGGAGAGGAGGAATGGCATCCGAGGCCCAGGGAGCAGCCTGAGCAAAGAGGCAGAGGTGTGAAAATGCAGGGTGTGTGTGTTGGGGAGTAATGAGGACCCCTGGGGGGGGAGGGTTCTGCATAGAAGGGAATAATAGGGGATAAATTGAAAACATGGTGGGGGCTGGGTTGTGAAGGGTTTTGAATGACAGGCTGAGAAATTTCAATTTCATCCAACAAGGACGCCATCGTAGCTTTTCAGGTGGAGCTGGGTGTGGGGGAAGGGAAGTAATATAATCCTAGCCCTCATAAGCTAGTGGAAAATGAAAAGAATTCAACATATTCATTTTTTTCCAAGTCAGTAAGCATTTGCAAATCATTGAGAATTCACATGCTTACGGCTTAGCTTCAATTACTGACCTCAAAAAATACATTCCTCTTTCCCAATCTAAATGTAATGTGCTTTCTTATGTTGTATTAATATCCCCAGTACACTCTGCATTTCTTGTTTTTTTTTTTTTTTAATAGAATATTTTACTTTGCTCTACATGGTCAAAGGAAAATATAGTTGAGATTGAGGGAGCATATTAGTGATAAAGGAAAGGGAGAATTGCTTTCTATTTTTCAATAGCTGTTTTTATTTTTAAAGCGGATCAAAGAGAAAAGACTGGGATAATCTATGACTTAGAATCATAGGCTGTTAGTCCTGGAAAATCACCTAGTGCAGAGAAATCCAAGATTTGCCAACAGCAGCCCACATGATCAGAAATCCACATGTATAAGCTATATCAGCATACTTATGACTACCACGGTGAGTCAAGAGGATCTTTGCTTGGCTAAGGGAATTAGATATGATTCAAACCTTAGTCAATCTATGGAAGCTATCTACATAGCTGTTTTTCTTTTGTCAGTCTTTCTTTACGATGCCCTAGTTTCTTGATTTAATTTAATTACATTTATATAATGAATTATACTTAACTGCAATTATAATTACTGAATGAACCAAGCTTGCTGTCATGTCACCTGGCAGCCTTCAGATACAAGATCTTAGCAGTAAACAAGTACTTAGGCACCACCTAATCTTACATTTGATCAGTGCCTGCTAATTAAGAAATCATCTAATTTTTGATAAAAATCTCAGGAGATATACACACCTGAAGGCATACACACAACACATATTTCTAATTACATGGCTGACTATTGAAAGAAAAAACTTAGATACTTCTTGATAAGACGGATCTCTAGGGGACCTTCTAGATACTAGCCCAATACCACCTTTTTGTGAATAAGGAATTTGGGAACCAGAGAAGGTAAGTGACTTGCCCAAACTAGTGGCAGACTTGGGCGCCACTGTTTTCCAGAGTTGTAAGCTATTCGTGATGTCAGGCTGCCCCTTAATAATGGGTACAGAGGAGAAAATCTCCTAAAAGAGACTGCAGCTGCACAATGAAACTCACCATGTTGAAAATCATCACTTGAGGGTCTGTGGCGTGTTAGTGATGGAATCCCAACTGCACAGAAGTCAGCGATCAACATGCCCCCAAAACACAACCATGTACTTACATGGAGGACCACCCCAACAATCTCGATTTAATTAACAAATTACCTGATAGTTATTCAAACTCTAACTTGACCGTTCAATGGCAATACAATGGGAGAATTTAGGTGGAGATATTCGTAAATTGATAAAAGCCAACATTTATTGGTTACTTTGTGCCCAGTTCTAAACATACACCATCTCATTTAGTCTCCATAATGACCCTAAGAAGTAAGTGCTCATAGTATGATCTGCCTTTTGCAAAGGATGCTGCATCTTACAAAGTGAAAGTGACTTGCCTACAGATCTGGAATCAAAATCTAGACACTGTGATTCTAAATCGCTTGTTCTGAAACAATTAAGACATTTTCACCTTTGTTATTTTAGGGGCCATCCCTGCACCTAACATCCAGGTTAGAGCCTACTCTTTAAAGAAACCTGCCTTCAAAACTTAAACCTGAAAACAAGACCCTCCTTATCTAAATCAACACCAGAACAATTTTGAAGAATAGACTTTTTAAATTTATTACTTTTGACCAGTTATTTGGAGCTGACACTTGGGAACACTTAACACTTTATCATTTTAAACAAAAGCTGTGAGAAAATGACTAATTACTAATGAATGGTCTTGGAATGTTTAGTGTAACTCAAACAGCTAGAATAAAAGTACAGTAAAAACCACCCTATAACTTAGGCCAAATTAAACATGGTGGTAATGTGGTCTACTCAGAAGTAAGGCAGCCATAAAATAAAAATACTTTGCATTTTTTCTGTTCTATTTGGCAATCCTAAACTCCAGGTTAAGCAAGGACCAAAATTAAGTTGTTACTGTATAGATGGCAGCTAGCACTTTAGTTATTAACTATTGAAGGGGTAAAATGAAGTTTCAACTAGAGGGAGAATTTCTAGAATCTTAAAAATAAGTTAGTTTTAACCTCACAGACTATTATTTTACTAAAATGATAACCCAAACTGTTTCAATCCTGTGAACTTTTGTTGACAATTTCAGAAACGTACCCTTATATGTTCAAAAACCACCAATTACTTTCTTCTGTAAGACAAAAGCATTTAAATAATACTATTTATATATTTTTTGTTTATTTATTCATTTTTCAATAGATGTTCATTGAGTGCACTGCTCTGGGTCCCGGGGGATCAAGCCCTGGTCCCAGCCTCATGGTATTTACATCCTACTTGGTGAGACAGACAGTAAACAAATGTGACCTTGGGTAATTTATTTAACTTTTGTGTTAAGTAATTGCACTGGAGATAATAATTAGTATTAGTATTAAATAGTAAATATTATACAGGATAAGTTGTGAAGATTAAATGAGTTAATGCATGTGAAGATCTTAGGAAAGTGTTTGGCACGTAGAAAGCCCTAAATAAATGTAAGCTATTATTATTAAGAAAATAAACATAATTTAATGTAGTGATTAGTAGTATATTTATAGGAAAACACATTTTTTCTATATAATTAAGACCATTAGTGAATACAAAAATTAATCTCAGCATCTTTAAAATTATACTATGAATATAGCTTTATAGTTATCACACTGAAGAACTCCATGGATCAAAGGCGAAGAATAGAGGCAAAATCTAAGATCTCATCTACAGAGTGAATGCTGTATTATCTACAGAGATATCTATGGAGTGTGTGCAATTCAGTCCCAAGAGGCTTAAAAATTTTGAGAGTCTCACAGCTCCATACTATCTTTAGTACAATTTTATCTCTAACAATATAAACCTGTTCCCAACTCAAAACTGGAGAGAAAAATCTACATGATTTTATGGAAAACCAGAAGATTATTGAATCTAGCAATGCAAAGCAGCACCTGCTTCACAGATAAAAAGAATTTAGGGTGAGGGGCTGGCCCCGTGGCCAAGTGGTTAAGTCTGTGCGCTCCGCTGCAGGCAGCCCAGTGTTTCGTTGGTTTGAATCCTGGGCACGGACATGGCACTGCTCATCAAGCCACGCTGAGGCACCGTCCCACATGCTACAACTAGAAGGACCCACAACGAAGAATATACAACTATGTACTGGGGGGCTTTGGGGAGAAAAAGGAAAAAATAAAATCTTTAAAAAAAAAAAAAGGAATTTAGGGTGAAACTTGGCTGTTTTCCTGAAAGGTTTATTTTAAGACCCTCCTTTGGGATTTCCTTCATATATGCTCTCAGAAGAATCTGTGACTGTGAAATCTTTGGAGTGGTTTTTGGCAAGCAGATCCCTGCCTGCCCTTATCAGAAATAGGAGGTAATATTGGTAAATATAAAAATAGATCTTGCAATTTGGGCTCACAAATGGAATTTTTTAGGCACAATAATTTGGGAGTAATAATTCCTAGTATTTTGATTTATAGATTTTAAAAGCTGTGTAAAATTAATACAGGTACAGCAGTGTTTATTATGATGCAAAGGGAAGGATGCAGAATTTAGCCATTTTAATTCAGTTATATATGAAGTCTTTGCATTTAAAGCATTTCTCAAAAGGTAAAGGAGTAAACTGGATTACTCTGAGCGGTTCCTAAAGGTCCTTCAGTCTAACGGCATGATACGAAGGTTAGTTTTGTGGATATTTTCCTCTCTCTTTGAGTTGAAACATCCTAAAGCTATGTCAATAGAAACCTCTTTCTCAGGCTTCCGCACAAGCAAAGTCAGAGCAAAGCCCTTCAAAATCAATATTTCAGGGTTGGTAGTGTTTCCGCTCTGTAAAAGCCACATTGTTTTGATTAAATCTACTGAAATAAACTGATTTCCCAATTCAGCTTTTTTTTACTAAAGCCAATAAAACATGCAAGCTCATTTGGGAGGAAGGAGTTAGAGGGGAGAGATGCCTAGTTTTCACTTATATTTTCATTTCTCATAATAGTTATATGCCCCCTTTGGACGTTTTTTACTATCCCATTTTAAGTATATCAAAAGTTTACTATATTTCCTTATGTAATTTTAATTGGCATGTAATTATTTCCAAAAATGGACATCTATAAACAACTATTTATGTTATAGTTTTGCCCTTTTCCCCTTATGTATATATTTTTTAAGTACATAAAGTATATATATCTGTGTTAAATTACAGTCTTATTGTCAATGGATTTCCCCCCTTTTTTCCTTTAGCAATTGTGTGTAACTTTAGAAATTCATAATGGCTTTTCCCTAACTCTCAAAATAAAGATGTGTGTATAAAACATTTAAAAATACACAGAACAAAACACAGAAAACAAACATACCCCCTATACACACACCACCACCATTTGATACATGGGATTGTAATTATTCAACTAGCTAATGTTTCCTACTGCCTTTTGGAATGACTTATCTTGATATTTTGGAAGACCATTTCCCAAAAAGAGAATTCATTTGTGACTCAGCAATCTCACAAAAATGTCAAAATAACACCACAAACATGCAGACATGTTCTTCAAACCACTTGAAAGCAGCTGGACACCATGCATTTTTCAAGATACCATATGTAATCAGCTATGGCTACCGTGTAAGTAGCTTAGCCACACTTTTAACTACAGTTTCTTCACTTAGAAATGGGGAAACAGGAAAACCAAGAATTATTACACAACCTTAGAGTTTTGTTTGGTTACTTTAAAGCAAGGACTTCAGAGTCATCTCATAATGAGGGAATTCTTCTAATTGTCTTCAGAACTCTAAAAAAGGAAGACCGGAGAAACTGAAACTTTGGATGTGATGATGTGTTTTTGAAGCTTTCTCCAATACCATGTCCAATGTGAAAACCGTAGAAAAGATAGTAAATGAATAAAAGAGAGAGGGCAGATAAAATCTCAAAGAGACAAAAAGAGGAAGCCAAACAATCAGAAGAAAACTGAATAATAATCAGCTCAGGACGAAAATGGCAATTGTCTTCTCTAATGTGGTGATCCCTGACTTCTTATCCCTCCAGACAATAAAGACTTCAAAATCATTTGAGCCCACTAACAGTAGACTTTGCAACCTCACCTTTGAAAAAAAGTTTCAATGTATATTTGCTATTATTTTTAAATTACCAAACCAGGATATAGCTTGATTACAGTGATCATATTTCTATAAGCCAAAACAGTTCTAATTAATAGTGATTAAAATCACACTTAAATATTCTGGAATTTCTGGAACTCCAAGAAATCAGATTTATAAGTTGTATCATAATTTCTATTAGCAGGCAAGCCTACACGATTTTGGAAAGCATAAAAAACGTGAACATTTTCTAGGCATATTGCAGGTATTCTGTCTTTTTTCCTACAAATTTGCCTGTCCTTTTTCTCACATGCATTCCCTACATTGGCAATAGCTAAAATAACACTACTTAACTTTGAAAATGCTGTTTTACCATGAAATTAATATTAGCCAATTTAGCCTAAAAAAGTAAAAAGTCCAAAAAAGTATACCAAAAGATGACTTAGACTTTAGATGAATTTGATCATTCTCTAAGCAAAATAATTCCATATGGTGGAATACAACTTTCATTTAACCTGGGTTGTTAATTCTGTTCTCTAAAATTAGCATTATGGAATACTGACACTATATGCATTTGGTTGTTAACAAGTAATAAACACCAATAAATCTTGTTCCCAAATAATATGCTTCTTCTGGGACAGATATGTACCCAATTTTATTTTGTAAGGAAATATGTTTAGGGGAATTCCATCTAGGTCTTGGCTAGCTAACTGACTGCTCTAGTCTTGGTAGTTTATACTCTAAATATTGCCCTGATTTTTATTTTACATTTGATATTTCAGCACTCAAAATGTCTTCAACCTAATGAATACTATTTCTCTACTTTTATTTCATAAGTAAAATTTAAAATTTCCCATAAACTTGTAATGCTGAATTCTTAATAGGCTCCTTAGAATTATATTCCTACTTCCATCTTTTAAAGTTTCATGGTATTTTAAGCAAATTTTAACACAAGGATCCATGCCACTCCTTCATTCAACAAAAATTTAAGGTGTATGTTTAGGTTCTAAGCACTTTGCTAGGTTCTGGCAGTACAATCAGATTCTGGTATTTTAATTATTTTTTACAATGCAAATTTGTCAAATTTAGTTATTTACCAATTTTGCTAATTCATTTTGTGAATATTTAAAATTATACTCATGTAACTATCTTTGTCTGTAGATTTTAAACACATGTTCATATAGGCACCTAACTCTTATCTCTCCCTCCTTATGGAAAATACCACTTTTTTATTTTTCTTGCCTTAATCCAGCAATGATTTCCTAATGAATCTCTACCAGTGAACTTCCCATCTTCCTTCAACCTGCCTTTAAAAGGAACATGGTCATCTAAGATTACAGACATGGTAGAAGGAACAAATAACAGCTAAAATAATACAATAGGTACCCCATATTGTCTTCTTAACTAAGCACTAGGAACCTATCCCACCCATTTTCTCAGTTATGTTGTTCTTTTCACATCATGTGAGGAAAGGCAGTTCAGAACAACTATATGACTTGTTTAAATTCATACAACTAGTAAGAGATAGAACTGGGATTTGAATCCAGGTCTGATTGGTGCCCAAGTCTTTGATTAGATTCTACTAGATAAACATGAATGATCTTTGCTTTCAATTTGTATTCAGTAAAAGTGGCAGAATGCATAAGAAGTGGCTGGGGAATATTCTATTCTCTGGAGAGAGATGAAGGGAACTTTTTTTATTTTTTGATCATCTGCTTTTTGCCAGATATCATGTGTGTGGTTCCCCGAAACAGCCCAAAGATTGTGAGTGATATGACCCCACAGTGGTAGATGGAATAGCCAGGAATCAAACCTGAGTCCGAATGGCTCCAATCCTATGCCCCTGCTCTGTCTTATACTGTCCAGGGCAGTGGCATAGCGAGAGTGGGAAGTGGCTGTGACATCTCCTCCCAGGAGAGGATCACGGCGGTGTCACACAGATCCCCAAGCGTCACTCCTCTGAATGTTTCCAGCTGACTATTCTAACTGTGCAGTGTTTTTGGATGAGGTAATTTTTCATGGAATTCTCCTTCTTAGTGACTTGGGTTGCAAGTTAGCAAGGGTTGGCTTTTTAACCGCCATAAAGTCAAGAGAGGCTATAAATAGAACAAAGTTAAGTATGAAACAGATTCCATAATACTAATAATGTGACTCAAACCCACCTGCAGGAACCTGGGAAGAAGATGGTTCGATTCAATGCCAACACATATGTGCAGCAACTCCAAGAGGGAGACGGATTGGCAAAGTCGCATCACAAGTCCAATGGCATAAAAAGTGTCAACCATGGAATCTGTGTCCAGCAAATTAAAAATATGGACATACTAAGTAAAAACTAGATCACAACCCAAATCGACGCGGCACTTTGAAACAAAATTGAGATTATTTACTTCCTTATTCATTGTACGTGTGAGAAATTTCCTAAATAGGCTACTAAATTATGAAGAATACTATGCAACCAAAGAAAGCACTTCAGATTATAGAACATTCTAATTGATCCTCTTCCAAAAAGAAATAAAAGCTTGAAAAAGAAGGCTTCATGGCCAAAGCTATAGCATTTATTCCCCATTTACGAGATTATAAGCAATTCCCGCATAAAAGTAGCCAGTTAGAATCTAGACGACATCAAATGCCAACAGATTGGAGGGGAGCTTATTAAAAAAGCTGCTGTGCTCACAGCTTTTCCATTGACAAGAAACTGACAGGGAGGAGAAAAATGTGATTTCAGAGAAGCTTTATGGAAATGACATTAATGATGCCATGATATCAAATAACATCTTATGTGTATCTAGCATTTGTGTGCTATGCACACTTAATTAGTGCTTTCTGGATCTTTGTTAGTTTTAAACACTAGAATTTGGGCCTCTGATGGGGTCTTTTGGAGTTTGCATTGCAGAGGGCACAAACGAAATACTGCATCTGGAGAGAGCTGAAATGGGAGGGATACAAATGTTCCTCTAAATAGGATAAATGTGGTGGTTTAAATTTTAAGATGAAATCCTGCCATGTTAAGAACCTCCTGGGGAAGACGTTGCTGTCTGTACTGCCTAGTGATCATTCACATGACGATATCTATTGAGCACTAAGGGTTTCTCTTCTTAGCAGCTCTGTAAGGTGGACACTATTACCTTCATCCCCAATTCATGGATGATTCCTGAGGCATAGACAATCCAAGGCCCTGCCCTTGCTGTAACAGAGCGTGATCGATTACACAGCTCGCCAAAGGAGGAAGGAAGCAGGTGCTTCTCGTTCAGGTGATTAGATTGCTGTTAAGCTACTCAATTTATACATTGACTCAGGAATTGTACTGAACCCCCACTTAGTTGTTTCAGTCCTATTTCAACCGTAGGAATAGGTTGCATTTCTTTAATAATAAGTAGCTTCTATAATTATAAAGGCAAGATAATAGTTAAGAAATAAATACACGGCTGACGAAAGCAATTTTTTCCTACTGGAGATGCCAGGCAGCATAAGAAAGAGTTCATTGCTTGCAGCTTGTGTTGGGAATGACCTGTAAAACGCCCACAAAGCCACAGCCAACTTCCAAGGCCTGGAAGTGATGATTTGTTTCTAAAGATATAAAGGAAGTTTTCCCAACCCCTGTGTTTTCCTCTCCTTGAAGACTCCCAACGCTCATAGTTGAAATTCAAGCCTCCAGTTGTATCTTTGGAGATTCTTAACAAAGGCAAGAACTGATCTGTAGATTTGTAGTAAGAAAAAGCAACATAAAATAGTCTACATTCCTCAGCAGTAGATTAATTTCCTTATTATACCAAAGTCTGGATTGATGAGCATAGCGTGATTTTTCCCAGATAGAGTCTATATGTTTGTTTTCAGCTGAAACCAGCAGTTGCTCAAATTTCAAGTCATGCAACAGTTGTAAACTGTGATGACACTTACCCATGTGGGGATGGAACATGAAAATAATGTTATTTTGACAGTCATTTAGTGATTCAGTTTTTGAAAACTGAAATGCTATTTAAAATCTTTACTTTTGAGGAAACTGGAGGAAGCTTATGACCTAAACCGTTAATGCCAGCTCCCATAGAGGTGACGAGTCAGCCACATTTTCTCAGGGGTACATTAATCCTTAAGGGGACCAAATACAGGCCTGAGGGATATTCAGTTTATCTTTCATTTATTAGTAGTCTCCAGTCACCTTAAACCTGAGGAATAAAAACAAGGAAAGAATTTGCTTAATTCCTGATTTCTCAGCATAAAACATTAGACTGGAATTTACAGATTTCCTCAAAACACACCAAATCTGCTAAGGTTTGGTGCAGAATCAGAAAGGAGAAGTGATGGGGCCAGCCCGGTGGTGCAGGTTAAGTTCGCACGTTCCGCTTTGGAGGCCTGGGGTTCGCCGGCTGGGATCCCGGGTGCCGACACAGCACAGCTTGTCAAGCCATGCTGTGGCAGGTGTCCCACAAATAAAGTAGAGGAAGATGGGCACAGATGTTAGCTCAGGGCCAGTCTTCCTCAGCAAAAAGAGGAGGATTGGCAGCAGATGTTAGCTCAGGGCTAATCTTCCTCAAAACAAAGGAAAAGAAAAGAAAAGAAAGGAGGAGTGAAATGGCACTGCCCCAGTACCATGTCTATGTTTTTAGGGCAAACTGTCTACTCAGGGAGAAGCCGAATCCTTTTCCCTCATCTTACCTCCCTCTTCTCCAACAAGGTTTGGTTTTTGCATTAAGCAACAAGTATACTTACTGAAAAATATCGTCCCTAAATTTTAGAGGAGTGAAGGATATTAGGCGAATCATAGAAGTTAAAAAATTAATGTAACCAGGACCAGTTAAAAACAAGGATTAAAAGTTAAAAATCCAAAACCGCTTTGGAGTTTTACCTTTTCCAAATGAAAAGAATCTGACTGTCATATTTGTAAATATCCATGAGTGGCCACAGAACTGGATTAAGTAGTAGATAAAAAGATAGATGTTCCTCCGATACCTATAAAGACAGGAAAATACCGTTAAACACTTCCTTTATAATCATCCTTTCAGCACTATACACGTGTCTTTTAACTAACCTACTGGGCAAGGTGAGTAAGCTTTTATTGGGTTACCCTTTAATGCACATCAGATTTTGAAAGGACCCACAGCACACACTGTCTGCTAAAGTGCATATCCTGAGTTTGCTTAAAGCCAACTATGGTTCCATTTCAAAGTCCACTTTCACCTTTGCTAAAGTTCTAACCTTGCCGTTTGTCAAGGGATAAAAGTAAGCATTGCAAAGATGGCTTTGAATATTTTGAAAAAAAATATGGATGGAGAAGGATTGATGTGGTCAATACATGTTCCAGTAGCTTAGCCTGCTAAGTGTGGAACTTGAGAGATAACTGGTTTATAGTTACAAGAGGGAGCATGACAATGGCATTCCCAAATAGTAGATAATTCAGTAACTGGACTGACTTCGAATGCATTGTGTGAGACGGGTCAGTATCTCGCCACTGCCTCCTACTATATTTTGCAAGAGCAGATAGGTTCCTTCATCAGACACCCATAGAAAGCAGTTTAGTCGCTAGGCCAGAAAAGGGAAGTCAAGCTAGGTTTAAAAATGGGTTGCTGGGGAGATGACTAAGAAAGATGGACAGATATATGGCTGAGGGAGTTAGGAAAAGCATTGTTGGAAGTTTTGCCTGAGGTTCAGAAGGGTGGTTGGAGTGACCCTGCCACTGTAGACAAGATTTTCTTGTAGTTGGAGATGTGCAACCTCTGAGAAACAAGGCAAATAAGTTGGGAAGCAGATACAGTGTAGCTTGATGATTTTGCTGGCGGGTGACACAGAGTGCTAAGGCAATGGGGAAGAGGAATTGCTCCCGTAAACCTGCATCAGAATGACTTGGTGCGTTAGCGCAGCATTCACATCCGCTATACCCCTGAATCAGTTTTCAGGAACAGGGCCCTGGAATCTACACGTGCGATATATGTTTCTAAACATCAGCCTGCAACATTGCGTGTGAGAAAGTCCAGGGAAGGGCTGCGGGTGGGGCGAGGGAGGAAGAGAAGGACTGGCAGAAAGCGCGGAAAAGGAAGGGGTGGCCGAGCAGGTCCTTCCCATTTCCTCCTCCGCAAAATGGGGGAAATAATAGAGCCTTCTTCCTAGAGTTGTCGGGAGAACTGAATTAGCTGGTACCTGTCAGGGGCTCAAAGGAGCGCGGGCGCCGGCAGGCTCTGCGGGGCGCCAGTGGGTGCCCGCCCAGCCGTGAGGGGGACCCCGCCCGCGGGGCCCCTCCTCCCGCGCCCTCCCCGGGTCTGCCGAGCGCCCTACCTGGGCTGCAGCCAGGCGGGGTGCGCCGTGGACCCCATGGGCCGCCGCCGCCAGGCCCTCCAGCGCCGTCGGGAAGGAGCACCTCCGGGAGCGCGGGAGGGACGGCCCCGGGCAGGCGCGGAAGGGCGGGGCCTCTCCACACTCAGCAATTTAGAAAAAAAAAAAGCCCAAGATCGTGCAATGGGCACGAGAAAAAACCAAGTTCCTGAAGTTCCTGCAGCGGCGGGAGCGCCCTGCACCACCACCGGCACGCGGGGCGCGGCCCGTGCGCGAGACCGGGCAGGCGGGGCGGCGGCCCCAGCGCGCCCGCGGTCCCCGGGTCCACGACGCTCCTTACAGAGCTCCTGATCTTTGGACGGCTGCAAGCCTCGTGGAAATTAATAGACCCTCCTTTCTGTTGCTGAAAGCGTGCAGACACGCCATCCCAAAGCCTCCCCAGATGCGTGGGCCCCAGGGTGGGCGCGTCTCCTTTCACCTTCACCTGTGAGAGCGAGTGGAAGAGGAAGCGTGTGGGCACACCTCCGCTAACACTTGGTTTTCTCTTAAGGGGCTTGATTTCTCCGGGATCAGGCATCCTGGCCCTTTAATCTCCCCTGGGTCCTCACTGATACTTGCAAATCCTTTTATCCACGTTGTGTTCATCTCCCTATCCTATGCCCAGCTCGCACATGTCTCCTTCATACTCAGACGATCTACCTACTACTTTGCTAATAAGATCCAGACCATCTTCCAGCTTCTCTGCCCTCAAACGGAAACTTCCCAAAATAAATTAAAAACAAAACAAACAGCCAAGAAGACACTTCAAGTAAGGGGGGGGGGGGGGAGGTGAGGCAATAACTTCTGATTTTTGAAGTTGGAAGGTAATAGTCCCATTTTACCCAAAGGAAAGTTGAGGCTTTGAAAAAATGTTATCGCTTGCCACAGGTCACGTGACTGATAAAAGGCAGTATTAGAACTTCGCAGTGGGCATTGTTCTCCCGTTAGGCCATAGGTTCCTTCCTCATAGTCCATTCTGATCTCTCACCCCCTGGTCCACCTGTCATCTCTCCATGTCACCTCTGCACCTCCACCCAGCCCCTGCTCTCCATCAGAGTCATCCCTCCCCTGCATTCACCACTCCCTTCTCAAAGGCACTCCATCAGTTACAACCCACTGCCTCCTCTTGCTTCTGCATCCTCTCCTTTCCACTGACTTTCACCACAATTTAAGAACATTATCAAATCTCTCCTACCCTAGAATTGAACATTTTCTCCTTTCTGCTTCTCTCTTGATGTAATTTTCTCTTTCCTTTTTCTCATAATTCCCTGCCACCCTCTCTCATAGCCAGGTGCTTCTTCCATCTCTGACCATCTTCCTCTCTCACAACACCTTACAGTTTGACTTTCCATCTCAACACTCTTGAAAATGCTCTCTCTGTGTTCATTTCTTCTCTGAGTCCCCATCCTGTACTCACTGTGCTAGGTGACCCCACACAGTCTTTGCTTTTTGGGAGCATTTGATCTAAAGGGAAAACTGTTACACAGGCAAACACTGGTGGCTAACCTGTCATCAATGTCATCTGTGCTCAGGCCAAGCAGTGAGAGAGGAAGAAAGTCCTGGATGGCTTGGAGTTGGGTGGGAGGGAGAGGGAGGAAAGACTGCCTAGAGGAAGTGACCCTTTATCACCAAACCCAGCCTCTGTGTCTATATCCTTCTCCTCCTCCACAAGTCTGCCACATTTACCAACTTCACCGGTCCTGCCTTTACCTCTGCAACTCTGTGTGTTCTGTTTCTCTCACCTCTTGTCCTCTCTCTTTCTCTAGATGGGTCCTTTTCTGCTCTATTTCCCCAAAAGTCTGCCCTGGGCCATCTTTTCCATTTGCTACCATGTTATCCCTTGGCACAGACATCCACTATGGCTTTATCCCAGGCGGACAGTGCTGACTGTATTATCTCCAGCTCTTACTTTTTTTATGAACACCAGCTCTGGCCTTTCAACAGCTTCTGGATGTTTCTGCATGAAAATTCTGTTGTAACTTCCAATTGAATCTATTTAAAATAAGCATCCCGTCTTTCCTTCCGAATCATTGTCTCATGTCCCACAGACCGCCATTTTCCTAGTCATTCAGGTTTACAGTCTCAGCCTCACCGTTAAGTCTGCCCATCCAATCAAATTCTATTGATTCCATCTTTTCGAGCTCCACTATTGATCACTAGCTTCCCACATCAATTCCTTATTACCCAGAGCCCGGGTAAAAAAAAGTACAAAAAGAGCTCCTTTTTGCTTGCCAGACATGCAACAGCTACAAACAAGCAAAAAACCCTTTCAAATCAAGCATTTAGGGAATTCTGCTTTGTTTTCCAAGGAATAAGTAAAGAAGAGAGTTTATGAGAGAACATGTGGTGAGAAGTGGAATTCTTCCTTTCCCCCGGCAAGGCCCCAGGGCAAGTCCTCCCCAGGTCCTGCCAGCACTACCAAGACAGCCTCCACAGCCCCCCTGCCTCCAGTCCCTCCTCCTTCTACCCAGACTACCATCCATTAAGGACTGCTAGAAGTATTTCTTAAAACACAGTCCTGATCCAGCCATTCTCCTGATCGAAATCCTTTGCTGGCTGCCTGTTGCCTGCTACAGTTATATCTCATCCTGCCTCCAAGCCTGCCATGTGCTAACATCTCGTTCCACCCATTCCCCCCCCCCCCCCCCCCCCCCCCCCCCCCCCCCCCCCCCCCCCCCCC